GCTTAAGAAACCCCTAGCACTCCACATGCCCAAGCCTCCCAAGTTCCCACCACAAAAACAACCTAAACGACAAATAAATAAGTATATCATAATGAAAATGAATAACGGAGAGTGCTGGAGTACATCAAAGGAGTAACAGAAACCCAGGTGAACACAGGAACTCAGGACAGCCATACAGAGAACAGAAGAAAACACCTGGTCTCCAGAACCCCATTCCCTAGCAGGGATCAGAATCAGGAGGAACTTCTCCCTGTGGGGAAAGGCAAGCAAAACTATAGTCCTCACTCCAGTAGTCAGGACTATAGTTGTTCAAAGTGTTGATTGGGGTACCTAAGCCCAGCTGAGGGAGCTGCCTGTAGTCCACATAGCTGTTGTCCCACAGAGAAGGAGCTGACACTATGCCTTGCATCCTGGGGCCTATGTGGCTACTGTACAATGCCATCTTCAGACTGGAACTACTGTTGGAATGTTGCTTGGGGGCGAGTACCCACAATATCCCTTCATCTCTGAGGGTAAGCTACTGCCAAACCACCCCTGCCAGAGGCCTGACATCCCAAAGCTGTGACTAGCTCTTCTACCCTTCCCTGTGGGCTCAAGCAGTGGTGGAGCTGCTTCATGCACCCCTCCTAGCCCCCACTCACAGCTAGAGCTCAAGCTGCGCACTCATTCCCAGAGAAATGGTGCTTTGGCAGAACTGTTCCATCTCTCAGTCATGCTTGCACCTGCTCCTAGGGGACTGAGCTGAAGCTGTACACTGCCTCTATGGAAAATGATGCCCTGAAAAAGCTGTTCTAAAATCCTCTCACAGTCATTGCTACACTGTGCCCCTCTGGACCAGTACTGAAGCAACACAAGACATTCCAGGTAAATGGGGCTTTGACTGACAAGAGCAGTCACACCCCTCTGTGTCTGAGCTGAAAAGGTACACAGTCTCTTAAAAAAATAAAATAAAATAAAATAAAGAGTACCTTGGCCACCAACAGCAGTCATGGCTTCCCAGTGCCTATGCTGAAGTAGTGTCCTACTTCCTAGAAATGACCAATTACAAGTAACAAGATTGAATTAGTAATAAAAAGTCTCCCATCAAAGAAAAGCTTAGGACCTGATGTCTCCGCAGCAGAATTCTACCAAACATTCAATGCCAGTTTTCTCAAACTCTTCCACAAAATTGAAGAGGGGGGAATTCTTCAAAACTCATTCTATGAGGCTAGCACTACCCTGATACAAAAACTAGACAAGAATACAACAAAAAATAGAAAATTATACAACAGAAAAAGAAAACTATAAGCCAATATCTCTGATAAGGAAAGATGCAAAAATCCTCAACAAAATACTAGCAAACAGAAAATCCAACAGCACATTAAAAGTCATTACCACGATCAAGTGGAATTTATCACAGGAATACAAGGGTAATTCAACACATGCAAATCAATAAATCGGATACATCATATCAACAGAATGAGGACAAAACTCATATGATTACCTTAATAGATACACAAGATGCATTTGATAAAATTCAACATCCTTTGTGATAAAAATTCTCAACAAACTGAGTATAAAAGGAACATACCTCAACATAATAAAAGCCACTATGCCAAACCCATAGCTAACATCATACTGAATGGGGAAAACTGAAAGCTTTTCCTCTAAGAATTAGAGCAAGACAAGGATGCCCACTCTGACTACTCTTACTCACTTAGTGAATCCTACTAAGTCTTAGCCAGAGCAATTAGTCAAGAGAAAACAATTTTTGGCAAGGAAGAAGTCAAATTGTCCCTATTTGCAGATGACAAGATCTTGTACACAGAAAAACCTATAAGAAAAACTGAAAAGTTCTACCAAGAAACTCTTAGAACTGAGAAACAGTTTCAGCAAAACCACAGGATACAAAAATCAACATACAAAATTCTGTAGCATATGTATACCGGAAAACAAACAAGCAAAATAAATAAATAAATAAATTTAACTAGAGAAGTGGAAGACTTTTAGAGAAAAACAATAAAATACTGATAAAAAGTAATTGAAGAGGACACACAAAAAAAGAAATACATCATGTTCATGCATTAGAAGAATTAGTATGTTAAAAATGATCATAGTAACAAAAGTGGTCTACAGATTCAGTGTAATCTCTATAAAAATACTAATGACAATCTTCCCAAAAATAGAAAAAAAATCCTAAAATTCATATATAACTACAAAATAGTCTGAATAGCCAAGCCAATTCTGAGCAAAAGGAACAAAGCTGAAAGCCTTATACAACCTAATTTTCAAATACACTGTAAAGTTATAATAATCAAAATAGTGCGGTACTGGCATTAAAAACAGACACACAAGACCAAGGGTACAGAATAGAGAACTCAGAAATGAATCCACTTGTTTTTATGCATTTACATATTGCTATAAGGGAATATCTGGGGCTGGGTAATTTATAAAGAAAAGAGGTTTATTTGGTTCACAGTTCTGCAGGCTGTACAAGTAGGATAGTGTCAGCATCTGCTTCTGGTGAGGGCCTTAGGAAGCTTCCACTCATGGCAGAAGGCAAAGGGGAGCAGGCATCACATAGCAAGAGGAAGCAGACAGAGAGAGAGTAGAGGAGGTGCCAGGCTTTTTTCAACAACCAGTTATCATGGGAACTAAGAGTGAGAACTCACACATTACCATGAGGATGTCACAAAGCCAGCCATTCATAAGGAATCTGCCCCCATGAACCAAACACCTGCCTTGAGATCCCACTTTCAACATATGAGTTCAAACTTCAACTTGAGATTTACAGAGGACACATATCCAAAGTGACACCTCTGTATAGCATGAGTTGGCTATAAATATCCCCATTCCTTTATAGCCAACCCATGTTATACAGAGGTGTCAAGGTCATTCACTGGGGAAACGACAGTCTCCTCAATAAATGGTAGTGAAAAAACTGGATATCCATATGTAGAAGAATAAAAGTAGACCTCATTTCTCATCATATACCAAAATCCACTCAAAATAGATGAAGGCCTTAAATGTAAGGCCCAAAACTATAAAACTACTAGAAGAAAATATAAAGGGATTGCTTCCAGACATTGGACTGGGCAAGTTTTTATGAAGACCTTAAAAGCACAGACAACAAAAGCAAAAATAGACAAATAGGATTATATTGAACTAAAAACCTATATAGCAAAGGAAATAACAAAGTGAAAAGACAATCAGGAGAAAGAGAAAAAATATTCGCAAACTATTCATCCAACAAAACATTAATATACTGAATACACAGGGAATTCAAACTCAATAGCAAAAACAAATAAGTAGTCATCGGGAAATGCAAATCAAACCCACAATATCTTCTCACCCTAGTTAGAATGGTTATTATTTAAAAGTCAAAAAATAAACATAGTGAGGATTCAAAGAAAGGGAAACTCTTATATACTATTGGTAGGAATGTAAACTAGTATAGCCATTATGAAACATAGTATGAAGTTTTCGCAAAAACTAAATTAGAGCTACTGCAGGATCTAGCAATTTCACTGCTGGGTATATATCCAAAAGAAATGAAATCAGTACAGTGAAGAGATATCTGCACTTACATGTTTATTGCAGCACTAGTCAGAATAGCCAAGACATGGAATCAACCTAAGTGTCCCATCAACAGATGAAGAGGTAAAGAAAATGTGGTACATATATATGATGGAGCACTATTCAGCCATAAAAACAAAATAAATATTGTCATTCACAGCAACATGGATGAACTTGGAGGACATTATATTTTAAAAAAATAAACTAGGCACAGAAAGACAAATATCATATGTTCTCACTTATATTTGGAAGGTAAAAAAAGTTGGTCTCATAGAATTTGAGAGTAGAATAGTGGTTACTAGAGCCTGGGAAAGGTGTATAGCCAGAAGTTGGTTAATGGATGTAAAATTACAGCTAGAAAAGAAAAATAAGTTCCTTGGTTCTACAGTACTGTAGGGTGATTATAATTAATAACAGTTCAAATAGCTGGAAAAGTAGATTTTAACTGTTCCTAATACAAAGAAATGATAAATGTTTGATGTGATGAATATGCTAATTATACTAATTTGATCATTATACATTATATACATGTATCAAAATATCATACTGTTCCCCCTAAATATATATAATTATGTGTCAATGAAAAAATAATAAATATAATTAAATTAAAGCATTTTTTTTTAAAGAAATCTGAAGCTGAAAAACCAAGGCTAAATGGTCTTAAATCTTAGTAGGTGTAAGCAAATATAATCCTTTTCTGTGAGAATTTACCCTTAATCCAAGTCCCACAAGATTTCCACAGATTGAGGTAACCCTAAATGAATTCACAGTGCAAAATTGCAAAACTCACAGGAAAATAAGTGACCAGAAATAAAGTCAACAGAAAAAACAAACAGCAGAATTATACCTCTATGAACATTAAGTATTAGAAGTACAAAATATAAAATAACTATTAACTATTAGAAATAACAAATATAAAATAACTATGTTTAAAAAAGTATAAGGAAGAAACAGAAAACAAACCAAATATAATTTCTAGCAATGAAAAATACAACCATTTAACTTAAAACTTAACAATAAAACAGTATTTCTCAAACAATACTTTAAACAATTGAAGAAAATGGATTATGAATTGGACATTAGATCATTAAATTTTGGTAATTTTTATCAGTTATGATAATGGCATGATTATTTAACATATCAATATTTTTTAAATATGAGTACTAAAATATGTCATGTTACCTGGAGTTTTTTTTTTTTTTCCAAAATATGCCAGGAAAGAAAAAAACAGTAATAAATAAAACAAATGTAGAAAAATCTGGGAAATATTAAATCCAAGTGGTGTGTCTATATATAATTTTCATAATAAAAATAAAAAGAAAACTCAACTGATAGCGTAATCAGAATACTAGATAAAACCAAAGAGAAGTTTATAGAATTAGAAGACAGATCTTGAAGACAGTATCCAAATTGTGAATAAAACTTAAAGAAAAAAGAAAACTCACCTTCCTTAGGACTGACTGCTGCAGGGAGAACATTCCAATCAAGAGTCCAAGTAGGGCAAGGGTGGGGAGAAAACATCACTTCAATGCCCTTTTCCTAGAAAAGAATATAGCCTCTTTCTAAATTAAGGAATTAATATAGTCTTACTATATTCTTAAAGGCTAAAAAATTACATTTTTATATTGGTAAGGAGGGGCATAAATAATAGTCTTCAGCTATTCCCCAAAATGCATATTTTAATTAAATAAAAATACAATATGTTGAGTATTTTGATATCACAGTTACTTTCCTATTTTTTATATTGAGATAATAAAAAGTAAAGCTATTTTAAAATGATTACTAGAAAATCCATAGAAGTGAAGTATACTGGATATCAAAGACTAAAGAAAAAAATGTTATCAAAAACAATCCACATGGAAATAATAAAAAAAACACTGCATATGTCCATCAAGGTCTCTCTTTACATATATGAAAACCACCACAGCCTATAAGCTATATTTACAGTACTAAAAGCTACCACTTTAACACATGCCACAAAACACCACTCATACTAGTCTTTTATAAGTGTCTTTAATGTCACTAGAGAAAAATTCCTCTGGTTTAACCAAATGTTCCCCATATTTTCAAGAATTAGGACCACTTTTCAATATATTAAAAATTTTCAGCCTTTTTCACCATCTTAGAAGTTGTACATTTGTTTATTTGATCTAGGTACAGTGGCATGGCATATGCATGGAATCACAGACCCCTTCCAATCACATTCTGGGTCCACATTCCACAGTGTATATATATCCATGGCTCAGTTATTTTTATCTTTAGGAATAACCTATTCAAATAAAAACTCTCTGAGGCTTCAGCAATAAATCTTTTGTATCAGTATATGATATTATTTTCCATTATGAAAACTAGCTGAATTTGTGTCCCAAAGGAAATAGTACACAGAATCTTTCATTAGGGCTAGAGATATGGCTATTGGCCCATAGGCCCAGAGCACTCATTTGCCTCCAGAAAGATAAACACATCTCTCTGACATCATCTACCTCTCTTCTATCTTCTTCAATCTAGCCTTACTGACTTTCTTGCTATTTCTTATTTCACTAAACTCATTCTTACCTTAGGATCTTTAAAAAAAACACAACTATATTGAGATATGATTTACATATTAATACCATACAATTTAGCCTTTTAAAGCATCTAATTCAGTGATTTTTAGAATATTCACAATTGTTCAACTATCGCTACTATTTTAAGATATTTTCATCATTTCCAAAAGAAGTTCCATATCTACTCAAGAAGTCAACCAGAGATCCCTTGACAGTATAGTCATATAATGAAGACACATCAAAATCTAGACATGCCTCAATAACTTGTAAAATGAACTATATAATAATGTTTCATTACTTAATCTATAGGCTACAGAGCTTAGCTGAAGAGTTAAGGGATTGGTATCCATACCAAAGCCTTCCTGTGCATTTCTAAATCAGTAAACTCTGTTAACTAGAGAACTCAAATACTTCCTAAACCAAATAGGGAAATATAATGAATATTTTTCCAGTGCAACTTCGATGGATAACTTAAGTTACTTCATGAATTCTCTATTCAAATAAATCTTCACATCATCTATTAAAAGCAAAATACTTTTGCAGATTGTTTCAGATGTTAGGGAAAGGAAAGCCCATTGTTGAAAACTTTACAATTGGTACTACTGAAAACAAACTATGCCCCAATGAGAAAATAAAGCATATGCATTTTTTTTTTTTTTGAAACAGGGTCTTACTCTGTCGCCCAGGCTTGCTGTATAACGCAAACATTAAAAGCAAAGATTAAAATAAAAATAAAATTCAAAGAATTTAAAAATTACAAAGTTAAACAAAACTTTAGAAAGTCAATTGAGATATTCATCTTTATGTTTCTTTTTTTTGAGACAGAGTCTAGCTTTGTCATCTAGGCTGGAGTACAGTGGCGCAATCTCGGCTTACTGCAACCTCTGCCCTCCTGAGTTCACGCTATTCTGGTGCCTCAGCCTCCCCGGTAGCTGAGACTACAGGGTCGTGCCACCACACCCAGCTGATTGTTGTAATTTCAGTAGAGACGGGGTTTTGCCATGTTGCCCAGACTGGTCTGGAACTCCTGACCTCAAGTGGTCCACCTGCCTCAGCGTCCCAAAGTGCTGGGATTACAGCTGTAGGCTACCAGGCCAGCCTCATCTTTATATTTCCTTAATGTGAAATCAATACCCAAGCTAAAAAAGATTGAGACCAAAACTTTACAACAGAAAACAATTATGTGAAAATAATACACTTGACCAGGTATGATGCTACTTTGGTCAATATCCTAAATATTTTAAAAATTTAAAAAAAGTTTTGAGACAAGTGCTTTTTACAATTATATATTGTGACATACTTGGCTCCAAAAATACATAATACTAAAAGTTTTCAATTCAGTAGACTTCACATAAATGAAAAAAGTAGCAGAAATATTAACTGGTAAAGAGTGAAGTAAGCAAACTACAAATAAAAGTTATAACAAAAATAATGTCAACAAATGATTATAAGTTGGAGTAGAATGCTCAGCAACATTATCACATAGAATTTTTCAAAGAAATTTTAACAAAATAATTAAATACCATTAGCTTGGCCATGGTTGGTCTTGGTCCTCCTATAAATAAAGGATCGTTTTGTTCTTCTACACCTGGGACTTCACTTAAGTTTGGATGCTGTTCACTTGAGGTTGTCAACAACTCTGGTAAATGGAGAAATTGGATCCCACACTTAGAAGCTGCTGTTTTCACTCTTGGCACTTCCTGAATCCTCTGGTACCAAGAGGTTAGCAATGGAAATTCTACCAGCTTCTCAGAAAATTTTTTGCAGATAATTACCTAGGTAGGAAAATAATAAAACACATCATATCTTTTTTTGTTTATAACAGCTATGTTGAGATAACTTCACAAACCACGAAATTCACATATTTAAGTGAATAGTTCAAATAATGAATTGTGATAAATATATGTAGTTGTGTAACTACCACCATCTAGTTCTAGAATGCTTAAGTCACCCCCAAGATTTCCCTTGTGATTTGCAGTCAATCTCTGCTCTCACAGTTAGTTGCAGACAACCACTGATCGGCTTTGTGTTTGTAGTTTTTTCTTTTCTAGAATTTCATACAAATGGAATCATGAAATGTGTTTTTCTTTTGTCTCTTAGTATTATGCTTTTGAAGTTAATCTTTATAGCTGCATTGACCAATTGTTTGTTTCTTTTTATTATGAGTAGTAGTCATTATGTGGATATATTCTGTTTACTCATTCACTGGTTGATAGACATTTGCATGTTTCCAGTTGTTGGCTATTAAAAATAATATTACTATATATTATGATGTAGCAGTGTTTATGTAGAACTGTTTCTCATTTCTTTGGAAATCTAAGAGTTAAGTTGGTAGGTTGTATGGTAAGTGTATATTTAAGTTTTAAAGAAACTGCCAAAATCTTCTCTATGGTTGCCATACCATTTTACAATTCCCATAGCAATCCGTGGAGGTTCCAGTATCTCCACAACTTGTCAATACTTGGTATTATCAGTCTGATTTTAGTCATTCACGTGGGTATGTAGCAGTGTCTCATTGTGATTTTAATTTGCATTTCCCTATGATTAATGATGTTGAGCAACTTTTCATGTGATTATTTGCCATTTGTATATTTTTGTTAGTGAAGTGTCTTGTATGTTTTTATCATTCATTTTATAATATGAAAGTTGGAGAAACTCAGCAACGAGAAATTGAAAAACAATTAAAATACGTCAAAGATCTGAGTAGAAGCCTTACCAAAAAAGATACAAAGATGGTAACTAAGTATAAAAAAAAATGCCCATCATCACATAACATTAGAGAATTACAAGCCAAAACAAGGAAATGCAACTACACACTTATCATAATGGCAAAAATCCAAAACACTGACAACACCAAATGATGGTGAGTATGTGGAACAACAGGAACTCTCATTCATTGCTGGAGGGAATGTAAAATAGTACAGCTACTTTGAAAGACAGTTTGGTAGTTCCTTACAAATGTAAATATACTCTTACCATACAATCCAGTAATTGTGCTACAAATGAGCTGAAAATTTATGTACACACAAAAACCCGAACACAGATACTAATAGCATCTTTATTCATAATTGCCAAAACTTGGAAGTAACCAAGATGCCCTTCAGTAGATCAAAGGTTAAACTGTGGTACATCTACACAATGAAAAACAACAATCAATAGAAAAAGAAGAATATAATAATTCCAAAAAGAATCAATATAAATAACAATGGCATATGCAAATAGCTATAAGTAGTACAACTGAAAATCATTTTGAAAAGCTTTACATTTTGTATTCAATTGTCCATCATCTTTCATTGGTAGTATGTTTTTAACCTCTTTAGGAACTCCTGTGTAATCAACTTCATTCCAATCAGGAAACCGTTTCATCTGTAATTCATGGCCATGAACACATTCCTCTCTTCTCGACCCTCAATATACTTGATAAGTTCTTAACACACTGCATATAGACAGTTAACTGGGCAACATTATATCAAAACCCTAAAATCCTTAACATATTCTTATGCAAATTAGGTTAAGTGGTTAATGGGGAAATAATTAAAATAAGTATTAACTTCTTCAAAACAAATAATGTAACACTTAAATTATCACAATTTAATATCTATAGTATACAATCATTGATGCATTTTGACGAGTCTCAAGAGAAATTTTGCAGCTCACTGCAGAAGTGTAAAAATTGAGAGCCTGTATTATTAATAGTGATCTAAAGTTTCATTTTGTGTGTGTGTGTGAAGCTATCTTCTCTGTGTGAACTATTAGGCAGAATCTAAATGACATTCCTTAAAAATAATGTAAGACACACCCTTAAGAACCATATTTTTTAAAAATGACACAATGAGGTAAGGATAAAAGAGAAAATTGTAAAAAGATAAAAGAGAAAATTGTAAATATTTAAAACTAAAAAAAAGAACTAGCACTATTTATAAGATTTTTTTTTATAAAACAGTCCTTAAAATAAAACTTATTTTTTCAAATTAGAAAAATTTTAAATTGTTCCTTCTGATACAAACTCATATATTTTTGTTTCCTCTTGGTCAGATGCTTTCTCCCTTGCACTACCACCAAACTCCATTTTCTTTAAAATTTAGAGTGCTCTTGCTTCTTTGAGAGGCAATAAATGTTGTTTCCATAGAAACCATTATAATGTCACAAACACATTATGACATGAATGCGAAAAGATAAATAAAAAGGTCAAGTAACAGGAAATCTCTACAAATATATTTAACAATAATACCAAAGCATGAGACAGAAAGGACAGAAAATAAAAAATTCATACATATATATAAAATACTGTATTTTAAGACTTTAAGATAAAATGAGCACAAGTAATTGATTATAAGAACAAGGGCTGTATCTAACTCTTTGAATACTGAGGCACTTAAAACACTACCTTGCAAATACTCTGTTGAATGAATGAACAAATGATCAAGAATCCATTTATTATCTTCAGAGAATAACCCTCTCAGTATTTTTCAAACTGCTATTTATCACTCATTTAGGGGTCGTGAAATCAACATAGTAGGTTTTTAAAAAATGATATATAAAATATCAGAGTATACATCATGTAAGTTATTTTGCAATTATTTTTTTACATATTATTTAAAGATATACATTTATTTGTACACTTACTCAATTTGTAAAATGTATTACAATTGTTCCTCAGTATCCATGGAAGGTTGGTTCCAAAACCTCTATCAGATACCCAAATCCACAGATGCCCGTATTCAAGTCCTTGACATAAAATGGTGTAGTATTTGTATATAACCTATACACATCCTCCTCTAGGTTATTTCTAATACCTAATACAATATAAACACTGTGCGAATAATTGTTATTCTGTGTTGTTTAGGGGATCATGACAAGAAATAAAGTCAGTATGTGTTCAGTACAGATGCAATTTTTTTCCCAAATATTTTCAATCTGCGGTTGGTTGAATACATGAATACAGAACCCATAGATATGGAGGGCCATCTGTATTTACTGAGTTAAAGTATAAAAAAAGTTTGAAAAATACTCTACATGGCACTCTGAGAGCCAAAAAGTTTATTAATTCCTTCCAGAATTCTTAATTGCTTGGAAATAGATTAGATGCTAAGGGCTTTCCCTCAGACTGGATCTTTAGACATGATAATCACACCAGAAACGTTCTCTTTTTCTCATTTTTCCTGTACTCTTGTTTTTAGTGATTTATTCTTATTTGTTAGATGTACATGGCATCCTTCCTTTCTTTTGAAACTAAGTTGTGATTAAATAACAATAATTCACATTTAAAAGAAATTGAGGAGGTTTACCCTGTGCGATGGGTCACTCCATTTAATCAACATGCCAGGCCACTCTATTAATATTCAGATAGCTCAGAAGGTAATGAACCACATTCATTACACTTATGAAGATATATTTAAGAAAGCTGCTAATGAAATCTATATGAAATGAAAATTAAGTTTCTTCTTAAGAAATGATTACCAAATAGTTACCTGGCTTATCAGATCAAAACCATTATAAGTATCACAGAGTTCTTTAAGGACAAGAAAAAAAAGATAATTTTTTTAAGATAATGGTTTCAAAAAAAAATGTATTGCTACCAAAGCAAAAATAAAATTTTAGTAACTCTGTAGTTAACTGTCAAAAACGGGCAGAAAAATTTGTCTGAATAAAAAGAGAAGCAAGATGTTCCATCTATTCAAAATATCTCCTCCTTTGCAATCTCTTATTATATAAAATATTTTATTCTTATTTTATATCATTTCCTTAGTCATACCTACTTTTTTGAAAATATACTTCACAGATGTTCAGGTGAGCAGTGTAAGCACAGAAAAAATAGTAAATAACATATCTAAATGGAAATATAATCCCAGCTCTGTTTCTTACTTATAAATTAGAACTAGTGAGTTAAAGCTAAAAACTCTTGAGGACCTAACACCTAATGCATCGGAGAAGGCATAGAAAAACAAATTTACCACTAAATAAGTGGCATCCACCATTTTTGCAATATGCTAGCAAAAAGTGAGATGTCTATTTTGTTCCCAATTTTATGCCAATGGGGACACTGAAAGAGGTATTTAGTTTTGCTAAAAAATCAATTTCTAAAAGAGGAATTATTTTACCTAAGCTATTAAAGAGTGTGTGTGTGTGTGTGTGTGTGTGTGTGCGCGCGCGCGCGCATGTGTGTGTATGCACGTGTGCGTGTGTATTTAATTAAAAGCATTAGAAGTTAAAATGTAGAAAATTAAATCATAAGTGTTAAAATTACAAAAAGATTTTATAAAATGATAAAATGCAACCTTTCTGTCTTATAGGAGTACAATCATGTTTTAAATAGTTCTGTCAAAGTGTACCTGCTTACTAGCAGTGATTGAAAAATAATATACAATCTTCTAGTGTCAGAACAGTAGGATTTTGCCCTAGTATAGCTATTTATTACTACTTCTCCATGTGCTTATTATACTATCTACTAGAAGATTCCTGCAAATGAATTAAAGAGGGGAAAACATGAGTGTACATATTAATTTATTCCTTTTAAATATATTTCTAAGACTTTTCAGAGGAGAGTATATTGCCAGGCCCCTTCCATTATGAGGTGCTGGGCCATCAGAGTTAACTTTGTAAAGTTATAAAGTATTTTCTGAAAAGGAAGAGCTTGAAGCAGGTTTATACCTAATACCTTAGCCCTTCCATGTTTGTCTCTGACAAGTTAAAAAAAAAAACCTCATCCATTCTATTTGTTATTGTTTTGTATCTTTGGTTTTATTCTGTTTAGCAGAACTGGGTATTTTCCCTAGTTCTTCTAAATTTTGACCCCTGGTAATTCAAACCTTGACTATGCAAAATTGACTCTACTTTTTTATGTCCTTTACTTTTTATTCCTGTGACTAAATATTCTGTTCCTGGGTTCAGTTTTATGCTTTTGGTAACTTGACTTTGATTACTGATTATGAACTTAATCCTGATTCTGATCATTTGCATGGCCACTCCATTCACCTCAACGTATGTTAACACAAGCAAAAAGGCTTGGCAATATAACCACTATATGAATTAAAATGACTGCTTTATTATCCAAGATGACTTAAAGGAGAAAAATATAACAAATACCAAGGCTTTAGCAAAGAAAGATGAATCCCTGAAAGAAAATATGTTAAATCCAGTAAAAATACAAAGGAACAAAGGAAAATATTTTGAGAATTTGCATATTCATATAATTTCAATAAATTTCTTTAATAAATGAACAGATATGCCACTTTCACTCAATTCTGATAAAAATGGAAACACAATTATTCAAAGAAGTCAAGAAGACAGAAGACCAAGTATTTCATAATATATCAAATGACTGCTCTAATGACTCAACTTGGTAATAGAGGAGAGGGATCAGGGAGAAGAATCAAGAAATCATTTGACAAGGAAAAAACTTAAAAATCAATGTTTTCTTCCCACTCAACTCCATGGACTTTATGAAGACATATGACATTTGGCATTAAAAATACCAATCAACATCTAAACAAGTCCTGGATCTCCCTCTTTGTACATTGTTTTGGTTGCCAATTTTGTGTCAATTTTGACGAAAAGAGAAATGTTCTTTAAGAAAAGACAATTGATCAATACTAGTGAAGCAGGGCCTTCGAATACATAGATTTTTGTTAGAAGTCTCTTCTGACTGTAGAGATACCTGAATTGCTGGTGACATAAAATGAGGATAAAATCTAATATCTGATTCCTTAGTAAAGAAAAGGGTGAAATTCTTCAAAGAAAAAAAACAAAACAAAAAAGGGTGAAATGCTTCAAAGAAAAAAAAAACAAAACAAAAGCAAAAAGCAATGTAGCTCTTGAAAACCAATTGGAAGGCTGCAGAGAATTAAGCTTCCTATGTTCACTCTGGCATTATTTTCATCCTGTTCTTTTTATCTCAACAGAGGAAATGTGTGTGTGTGTGTGCGTGTGTGTGTGTGTCTGTGTGTGTGTGTGTGATGTGTGGTATTATTTTCATCCTGTTCTTATCTCAACAGAGGAAATGTGTATGTATGTGTGTGTGTGTGTGTGTGTGTGTGTGTAAGACAGAGAGACACAGAGAGAGAGATCTTCCTACTCAAAAAACTTTCTATTCTCCCCCAGCACATAACAGCAGAGCCAGCTATTTTAATCTCATAGAGAAAAGAGAAGTACACAGATCAGAATAAAATATTTTCAATTTGATAATATCTAACATGAGATTAATTTATGTGACTAGTAATTATAAAAGTTTTAGTTTTTTTTTTTTTTTTTAATACTGGACCCCCTAATATTAGAAGTCCAATGTGCTATCCATTGCACCATAGAGCTGGCTTGGACCTTCTAATATTAGAAAATAATCACAAATAATCGCAAATTTGAAATTAATAACAATTGTTAACATTTTAGCAACTTCACATTAAAAGTTATAATAATTACTAACTGATTGAGAGCTTACTATGTGCGGAGCACTGTTCTCCATACTTCACACAAACTTTAGTTTGCTCCTTACATTTTTCCTATTAGAAAGGTACTATTATTATCTCCATTTTACAGATAAGAAAATGGAGAAAGATATTAATAACTTGCTTAGCAGCATACTGACAATAAGAAGTAGAATTGAAATTCCCTAGGCAATTTCATAGATTGAAACTCATAGTAAAGTATACAGTTCAGATAAAACCTTACCAAGAAATGATGGATACAAGGCAATAGCACAATATCTGCCAGAGTGAAGTAAAGCCCTTCTGCAAACACATGCTCCAGAGGTGGAAGGTCGGAGGCTTTTGCTTTTCTGATGTGAGACGGCTCTCTGTTGGTAGTAGCTGGTTCTTCCTGTACCGTGAGCTTTGAGAATGCCACTTTCAGTTCCAGACTCTTGGATGCAGAGTCCAGCTCTTCAGATGTTTCCTGTGTGTGGACCTTGCTCTTTGCCTTTCCCTTAGTAAGAGGAGGCCCAGCTCCATCAGCCTTCTGTTGCTTGAGCTTCTGCCTGCGGAGTTTATCATCATTATGCACTCTAACAGGCTCACTAAGCTTTTTCTCTAGCTGTAGTATTTCTACAGGTATAGTTGGGGGCTGGTCAAAAGACTCTCTGAGAAAATTCTCAATAGCCAAAGGGATGGTGAGTTCACATAGCCTGGTCCACTGACTAACCTACAAAACAAAAACAAAACAAGAAATGAAAGTTTTTTTTTTAATTTCAGCATAACTTGAGAAAAATAACTGTCTTATTTGGAAATAAGCTTTGAGCTAAATCATCCCTAGATTAGACTTTTATGCTATATCAAGAGATACATCACAGTGCTTTGGAATTAAAAACATTAAGCAAAGGAGGTTTAGCATTCCTGTATTCCCCTTACGAAATAAATCATTACTTCCCAAAGCCTTTAAAATACACCTTCCCTGTCCTGTCCCCCTCCCAGCCCCCACAAAAAGCAGGGCTTCCAAAGCATTGCTATTTGAGCTCCTATTTATATGTAAACATTCCATTTAGAATTCCTCAGCATAACTAAAATAAAGAAAAAAAATTATTCTCTAAAAATGTCTCCAAATTTTATAAATTAAAACTTAAATTTTTATTTTTCAACAATGCACTGAAATATTGCACACATAAAGGGTATATTAGCCCATTTTTCATTGCTGTAAAGGAATAAGTGAGGCTGAGTAATTTATAAAGAAAAGAGGTTTATTTGGCTTATGGTTCTGCAGGCTATACAAGAAGCATCTGCTTCTGGTCAGGACCTCAAGAAGCTCTTAGTCATGTTGGAAGGCGAAGGGAGAGCAGGTGTGTCACATGGGGAGAGAGGGTTTAAGAGAGAACAAGGGGGAGGTACCAAGCTCTTTTCAGCAGCTAGATCTCTCCTGAACTAATGGAACAAGAACTCACTCATCCCAGTGAGAGCACCAAGCCATTTAAGAGGCATCTGCCCCCAGGACCCAAACACCTCCTACCAGGCCCCACCTTTAACAACAGTGGGGATCACATTTCAACAGGAGATTTAGAGGGGATAAATATTCAAACTACATCAAAGGGTTACTTTAGTTCATTGGTTACTGTGGGTGTTTTTTTTTTTTTTTTTTTTAATAAATGAACTTTTATTCCTAATAGGAAGTTAAAATATTAAATGGTCAAGTATCACTGTGTAGCTTCAAATAACAGAAAAGAGACATTATACTTACTTCAGCACAGGCTTTCAAGCAAGTCTTTTTAAAGCCCAGAAGTTCCAAAAGTTCCTTCTTTAAGGGATCTGCTTCATATGATTTCTGGATTATGTGTCTTAATACAACAGCAAGTCCTGCTCTACAAAAATTGTCTGATCGTTCTACTACTGCAGGCAAACAGCAATTCTGGACTATTGGTGGGAGCTCTTGCCTTGAAATAATCTGTATTTCAACATCTTGGATCAGATCATCTCTTAGTAGTAAACTATCTGTACTCACTTCTTTGGTGACAACTAAGCAAATTTTAAAGATTTTGCAGTCACAGTAAGATAACAGAAATAAAGTTACAGATGTATGAAGAGGAAAGATGCATCCTTTTGTTTGGTGAGAAAAGTCCAGATACAGGTATTCTTCTTCTGTAAGATTTTTCTTGATAGCTTTCATTTTCTTCTTTCATTGGATCACCTAAGATATAAATTGAAGTGATTATGGTCTTAGAATATAATCATTTACAAGCTAAAATAAAAGATAAATGTTTTAAAAGCCTGTTCTAGAAATCAGTAAAAGTTTGCAGTAAATAACGATGCTATGAGATTTGTTTCTGAAGACCAAATGCCTTCCAAAAAATTTTTTTTACTCTGTGTTATAACTAGCCTTAGAGGAAATTTTACACCCAGCTCCTTTAAAATGAACATACCTCAGTACTTTGCAATAAAGCCTTCCCAATTAAGCAGTTTGGAATCTCACTATAGGTGAGAACAGGAGATCAATAGAAGGGGAAACAAATCAACTAAGAATACTGAGAGCTGTCTAGGTATAATATCCTTGAGAAGTTTTGACAGTGTTCATCCTTCCATACTGCTTCTTTTTTATGACCCTACGAAATAATAGGTAGGGGATATTCATTCTTTCAGAAGTGGATTCTTCTCAAGTAAGTGATAGCTGTTGAGTGTTGAATCATAATATAAAAATATTAAAATTTCTCCATAAAAGATACTGATAGCTGAGATATCTTACAATTAACATGTCCAAAATCTAGTTTCTTATTCTCTTCCACCCCTCAAAGCTGCTCCTTATGTGTCTTCCCCATCTCAGTTTACACCATTCTTTTCCTTCACACCCCCATAACCAAACCCTCCAATGTCTTCCCATCCTCCTAGAGAAACGCCAAAGTTTCTACACTGGCCTACAAAGATCTCCTTGATCTAATCCTCCTTTATGTCTCTGAGTTTGTCTCATTAACTCTCTTCATTGCTCACTGTTCCAGCCAAAGTAGATTGTTATTCCTCTAAAACAGCCATCCCCAACATTTTTGGGACCATGGACCAGTTTCATAAAACACAATTTTTCTATGGGGGTTGGTGGGGGATGGGGATGGTTTCCAGATGAAACTGTTCTGCCTCATATCATCAGGCATTAGATTCTCATAAGGAGCATGCAACCTAGATCCCTTGTGTGTGCACGCATGTGCAGTTAATAGGGTTGGAACTCCTATGAGAATCTAATGCCGCTGATCCGACAGCACAGTGCTCAGGCGGTAATGCTGGCTTGCCTGCCACTCACCTCCCGCTTTGAGGTGGGGTTCCTAACAGGCCACAGATGGGTGCTGGTCCTGGGCCCAGGGGTTGGGGACCCCTGCAAAAACACGAGGTACATTTCCACATGAGGGGCTTTGCACTTGGTGTTTCCAGTACCTAGAACACTTCTTCACTTCCTTCAGGTATTTATTTATTCAATGGCAACTTCTTACTGAGATCCTCCCTGACTACTCGATTTAAATTGCAACCCCCAATCCCTGCTCTCTGAAAAAAAAAGCTTTCTATTTCCATTTATGTTTTTTCTCCATAGTGCTTATTGCTATGGTGATATACTATACTTTTTTATTTGATTTGTCTTCCCCAATTAGAATGTTTCATGAGAAAAAAAATTTTTTCACTGCTTTATATACTTACTATATACATAAGCAAGCAGTATTTGACAAATGAATGCATAGATAAATATACACACTGGTTAAAGGTGCAAACACACACAGTCTTGAGGTCAGATTCTTCATGGCTATTTTCAAGTCATATTCCTTAAGGCTTTTATCAATTGTCATGACTTTTTATGTTTAATGCATGCATTTCCTGGGTCCAAAATACCCAATGTTCAAATCCATAAATTAAAATTCCAAAACTGACACTAGATGGCACTCTTTAAAAGCATTCACCATGGAAATACATACCAGAAAGGTGACATATTAGAAGGAAAATTACTTTAAAAGCTTTTTAAAAGTATATATGCAACTCTTGTCTTTTAAGTGCATTCAAAATGTTAGCGTACACTTAATTTTAGAAAACCTTCACCATACTAAATTTTCTTTTTATAAATTCATTTTTTAAAAAAATCCAAAGAGCTAAACACTTTAAGCTTCTTACATCTTTATGCTGTAAGTCCTTAAAAAGAGTCGAACAAAGTGAGGTCTGAAACAACAGTAGGGCAAAAAGAACCTACCACACTTTCCAGGAATTAACAGTCTTTTTGAGGAGTTTGCTATGGACTCACTCTCCTGACAGTAAGATAGTAAAAAGAAGACCCCTAAGTGTTTCAAGACAGCAGATTTGAAAAACATATGATTGATTTCATCATTTTCCCAGCAGTATAAAAAATAGTAATTATGAGGCTCATCCTAACACTTTTTAAAAACTGGAAACAAAGCCATGCTATTTAATAGCTTTTAAGATACACAGAAATATTTTTAAAAAATAAAGTACATCTATATTTGCCACTTTGCAAAGCACATAAGAATACGAAAATAGGGTTTTAGACATATTCTATAAGCTCTTCTCACTATTAGCACTTAATAAAATGCTAAATGTCAGCAAATTAGAATAGCAATAACCTGCCCATGGTGATACTAAAAACTGATGAGATGCCTGAGAGAAACTGCAACAAAATACTGTTGATTCTTAACATATTTTTTTAATATAGATATTGGTTTTTCCCCTGGGAGATTAAAAATGTCACTTAATAATCTTAGAGTAAAAAAAAAAAAAATACTTTCCTTGAGTAATGTCTCCCTATTATGTACTAATGCAATTTTTTAAAAGAAATATTAAGTATTTAGTAAACCGTACAAATGTGGTGTTTTTGGCTTACACTGTGTCTTTTTAGAGGTAGAACACAGTATTTGCTCCAAGTAGGCAAATATCGCAGGAAAAAAAAATCCCTCCTCTTTATTCTTTTCTAGCTTGAGAATGCCCTAGTTCATTAATTTTATGTCACGAGCTTTAAGAAGGTAGGTACTATAGAATAAACTTCTGTCTCTAGGGCTTCTGGAGGATAGCCCTTATAACTCTATATTGCATTTCTGCCACAGAAATAGAGTAATTTGCTCTTTCTCGGCTTTGATAGGTGCCACTCTACAGAGAGAGAGAGTGAGAAAGTCGCAGACAAAACCACCAACTTCAGGATATTAAATAGAGTGTGCATCTCTTTCCTGGACATGCCAACTAGCTTTGGAATCTTGTTGATGGAACAAATAGGTATAAAGAAAATATTAGGGCTTTGATTTCATGACTTGAAAATATTCTAATATATTTTTAAATGGTGGAATTAGTCATGGGTTTAATATTTAGGCATTCAGATCTCTTCCTTTTTTTTGTACTTTCATTCTAATGAATATATCTTTGCCTTGATGAAATACAGAGAATGAGAGAGAAATAAACAGTAAGCATATTAAAAATAAGCATACTTCTCCGAAGTCCAGAAAAAAAAAGCTTGAAAATTTTGCGATCAAATTTCAAGTCAAGATCTATGGCATTATGTATAACATTATATAATAAATTATATGTTATATAATGAAGACCAAAATGTGTATAACTGCTGCAAATTATTAACCTGTGTTTTCCTTTTTTCAAATAACTTCTCTTTATGGCTATGATTTGATAGGAGCTCAATAAATCTTAGGCAAATAACGTTTTAAATGTTACATACATCTTATTGTCTACCTACTATGTGCTGAGCACACAGAACATGTGCATTACTTTAAAGTATTTTATTTCCATTATAGAGATGAGAATTGTACATCAGTCCAAAGTATTAAACTTATAAAAAAATCTTAGAGAAATTTAAGAATAGGTATTGTTCTAATATAATAGTACTATTTATAAATAAAATTTCATAAATTGAAGCAATTTTACCAAAGTGAAAATCACCAGATATTGTATTATTCTAAGCAAGTATGCTGGTCTCAGTTATCCTTGATATAAACTTGCATTCCAAAGGCTAGGTTATTTGACAAGTTTCTGCACTGGATTAAATTATTTGGCAATTCTTTCCCGATTCCTTTCATTGGCTACTCTGCAGATATCTCAGTGACCCACACCTCAGTGTTTTGCCCTCTTCTCAATCCACACTCCATCCTTTGAATACATACTGGGTTTCAAACTTTTGATCATGCCACACAATTAGTTACATATTTTATAATGTAACTCACAATACACTGAATAAAATGCAAACAAAAATGTCATGAAGCAATATTTACCCTACTCTATGAGATAAATCTGATATTTTTTTCTCTGTGCTTGTTAGTTTTTTTTAAATGCTGGTTGTTGCTCATTACATTGATTTCCTGACTCATTAATGGGGCACAACTTACGATATGACAGCACTGTTCTGGGTGATCTCCAGTGCTATAGCTTTAAATATTATCTGACTCTTACATGTATATCCCGGCCACATCTTCTCCCCTAACTCGAGACGCCTATATTCTACTTGACATGTCCCTATGGATGTTTTCTTAAACTGCTCCCCTTCCCTTAGTGTTCTACTTCCAGTTAAAATGGCAACACCAATCACCCAGATGCTCAAGCCGAAAACTTCAAAGTCCCACTCAACTTTTTATCTCTCTCTCATACTCTGCCATCTCTACCTTTGAAATATATGCTACATCCAACTCCTTAGCACCTCTACCACTATCACCTTAATGTAAGTCATCACCAGTGCTTACAAGGATTACTACAAAAGCCTATTAACTATTTTCCTCCATTTTCCATAAAACAGTCCATTCTCCAACAATAGGGTGATCCTGAAAAACATAAATCACATCATGTCTCCTGCTCAAAACCATCCAATGGCTCTTCAGCACACAGAGAATAAAATCCAAATTTCCTGTTATGGCCTATAGGCCTACTGTGACCCTAGCTATCCCTTTCTGACCTCATCTGTTATCCTTCTTCACTCCCTTCTAGCCATAGTTGTCCTTGCTGTTTTTAGAAGGTGCCAGAAATGCTCTCACTTGAGAATTTTTGTACTTGTTGTTCCTTCACCTAGAATGCTTTTCTCCAAGAGATTCGCATGGCTTGCTCCCTCATTTCATTGATTTATCTGCGTAAATATCAACACAGAACAGCCTCTCCTAACTGCCTGACTTGAAAAAGCACTCCCTAGCCTCTTACCTAGCTTTCCTTTTTCTTCATAGCTCTTATTACCTAACACTATAATACCTCCAGTGCTTAATGAACTCAAACTTTAGTTCAAGGAATGGGTATGTACATACATGAATGTCAGTAATCACTGAGAGTATTATTAAGAACTTTAGTCTTGGTACAACATGAATCTCATTCTTCATGACACCATTCTTTCTTTTTAAGGACCAAGTATAAACTAAAATGAAGAAACAAGATCATCTTTGTGAGGTGAACTGAGAAAAGTATAAATGGAATCTAACCAAACTCATAAAGAAAGCATTGAAGTTTTTATGTACACTGATGTCCAGCGCAAAGGAATTAAGAATCTTAACTAGATTCCATACATGTGCCTAGCAAGATTATGTATAAAACAAGAATTATAAAGTAATAGATTAGACCCAAGACTGCTGAGCCAGACTACTGGGTGCAAATCCTGGTTCTGATTCTTAGAAGCTATAAAAAACTTTTCTACAGATGTGTTTCCTCACTTACATAACATAGAGACAATAATAACTATACCTACCATGTAGTGTGCTGTACAGATCAAAGTCTGTCACATATTCAGGTTAAATAAATACCAGCTATATTCCTTTATAATTTATAACCAAATTCCTTACCAATTGGCACTATTAAAATATGCAAACTTTGATGGGCAAAACTCAATTATGCTTTATATTTCCAAGCTTCTTTCCATAAAAAGGGGTTTATACTGATTGAAAAGTTTTTCCCAGCCAAATACTGAAAAAATATATTTGTTACTGAGGCTGAAAGTCAGGTAATCATGAAATTATAAAATATAAATGTGAAACCCTTAATCCATGCACATATAAACCTATTATATTATACAAAATAAGAAGTTCAACACAGTTTATAAGTATGAAAAAATTACAAACTTTTCTTAAAGATTAAAATTTAATATTGCTTAAATTCTCTCCTACATATGTTCAACATTTTGAATTTTATAACTTAGCTTGTGTTTTATGCTTTTCATAAAACACGATTTGGTTGAATATTGAACCCTATTTTATTACAATAATATAGATTTAACAACAACAAAAAAGACAAAACTTACCCCTACATGGATAGATAGCAGCCAATTACCTTAAATATTTAAGGTCAAAAAAGATAAGAAAAAAACTGAGATTTTTCAAGCTCATTAAATATGTAATATGGGATGCAGTTAATTCCTAGAGAACAAAAGCTATGATTAAAATTAGCTGTTTTCTTACCCAGTAAAGATGTAGGAAAAAAAGTTTTGAAGTGAAAAGTTTACTGTAATCTTAGCCTTAAATAAAGTGTGTAATCTCTCTGCAGAATCACCTGTTGCCATGGAGTCATAATGCCTGCAGCTAAACCTGACCTCATAATTAACAGGGATCCACAGCGCAAATGGCTAACACCTTAGAAATATCAAGTATGAAATAAAATTATTGAATTTTCACAGCAAACAATACCTGCGCTTGTTTTAATCTAAATGGTTTAAGTATCTGTATTCCAAGTATTCCAGTATTCTGCATAACAGAATTCCATAGGCTACCTTAAATACCTTATAATAAAAACAACATATACCAGGGAACTGTGTATACTACAGATGTATTGGTTAGCTGGCTCCAGAACTTGTTAATTTTGAGGCCTGCTAAATTGCTGCTGTTAGAAAGGCTATTTGGATACTCAGTATTTATTCTTTCTTAAAAATCACAGATGATACAAAAGCTACAAGAACAGGTTAAGGAAAAAAAAAAAAAAAAAAAAACAATTCAGGTTCATGACTCACGCCTGTAATCCCAGCACTTTTGGAGGCCGAGGTGTGCGGATCATTTGAGGTCAGGAGTTGTAAACCAGCCTGGTCAACATGGTGAAACCCTGCCCCCACCAGGAGGCTGAGGCAGGAGAATCGCTTGAACTTGGGAGAAAGAGGTTGCAGTGAGCCAAGATTGCGCCACTGCACTCCAGCCTGGGTGACAGAGCGAGGCTCTAAAAAAACAAAACAAAATACAAAAATTAAGCCGAGTGTGGTGGTAGGCGCCTATAATCCCAGCTACTCGGGAGGCTGAGACGGGAGGCAGAGGTTGCGGTGAGCAGACATCGTGCCATTGCACTCCAGCCCAGCGACAGAGCGAGACTCCATCTCAGAAAAACAAAAACAAACAAACAAAAAAAAACTTGATAGGCCCACTATTACAGAAGCTCAAGTTTGAGCTCTGTTTAAAGCAAACACGTAGAAGTGCAAAATACAAAAAATAAAAAAAGAACTGGTAAGATTATTCTCAAATCTCATTGACTTTTTCAATCTTATTTTTGAAGTGAGACCTCATAAGACGAGACCTTCAGGTGTAATACAAACAATTTTTAGTAATGAGTATGCTTAAAGCAATCCTCTCAGTGGTGTATGCTCCCTATTAGGCAGTTAAAAAAAAAACACCACCCACATAGCTTAATGTTTCATTTATTAAATATGACAGCGAATCACTTAGTTGTGTTATAACAGTTTATTTTCATGGATTTAAATGACCATGTTTACATGTTTAAAATTATCACATCACTAGTTCTTGCTAGCTTTTGCTAGCATCTCCTGTAAACATTGCTTCTACAGATAAACAGAAAAAATAGAAATACACCGCTTTCTTTATCAATAATGTAGCACACGATACATTACTAAAGCTGACATTTTTCTTGATATTCAATAACTTATGACAAGGAATGAACTCCTGGCATTAAGAATAAAGGGGAAAAAACAAGTCACCTAATCCCAAAACCAGGTAGAAAGCTGGGATGGAAAGTACGTGTATTAGCAAACGTTTCCGAAGCCAAAGCAACTTTCATGCAAGTTAAATTTTCTATGTAAGTCAAGAACCGAAGAGATACTGCTGTGATGACAAAACATAAGCAAATGGCCCAAAATGATGCAAGTCCTTTGGAGTAAATATTAAGTAGTATTCACATAGAACTGCTTTCTGCAATCAGAAAGGGCTGGAATGGAAAACTCAATGCCAGAGAAAAGAAGTTTAAAGTGTGACCCAAGAGGTCATGACATGAAATTACACTTAACAGCAAACATCAAACCACCCCACAAACGCCTCCAACTGGAAGCTGCCCCATTCCTCCATCAGCAGAAGAAGGCATGAGGGATTAGCTAGGTGGAAACTGGGAAGCGCGAACTACTGACGAGCCCAGAGCCCTGACCCGCACCTTCGGCAGGAATGGGCAAAAAGGAGTTGGAGGCGGCCCCATGGCTGGAGAAAAATCAGGACGATAATACCATGCCCTTGTCCTTCCCACTCTTCTCCCCGCATGCTCAGCCCTGCAACGCCCGAAGAAAAGAGTAGTCCTTAGAGGGTCGCAGGGGCTAATAAGCCGGCGGCCCGAGCGCCCTCTTTACCTGGTCGCAGAGGCGCGGCCAGGCAGGGAGGGTGCGTGAGCGTGTCGGAGACCTGGGCCGCCTGCGCCTTCCCGCCCAGGCGGAGCTGGAATTCCGAGGCTGCCTCTGGGAGCTGCTGCCTGCAAACCACTAACTTCCACAGAAGCCGAGAGAAAAACAACAGGCTGTTTATCTGGAAAATACTCCCGCCGACCGTCATTCATAATCCGGCGGACCGGAAAAGGCGAAGTAACGTCACTTCCTACTGTCTCACTGCCAAACGTTTCCCCCGGCCCTACTGTGGGAACCTTTGTTTTCCCGCTTTCGGAGCCCGCCAGTGCGGGAACCGTTTCCGAAGAGGCCACCGGGACCAGACGGATCGGCAGGGCGGGGCGGAACGGTGAGTTGTGCTGAGCGACTCTGCTCCCGGCAGCCTCCTGGAGGCTCGCGACCTCCCCTCCCAAACCCGCGCTAGGGGTTAGGTGGGAAAGTAGCTACGTGGGGTATTAGTTAACTCGCTCCTCGAGGGGAAACATCGTAATTTGCGGGCGGTTGCGTGCCCTAGACTAACTGCTCTCCTCTTTCAGTGAGGACCGGGCTTCCTTCGAGGGAGTTGCGGGCCGGGGCATGCGGACTGAGAATATTTCTAGGTCTAGGGACTAGGGACTTGGAACCCTGCCTCGGACTTTGTTAGAGGGTTTTTGTGACTTCTCTACGTAGCTCCCTCCTTGTCTCTCATCTTTTGGCTTCCCTGTCAAGGACCATCCCTCATTCTAGGCCTTCGGTGTGTCATGCTTTGATCAAAGGATTGACATTCCTTTTCTGTTTGCTGTCAGCTTTCAGCCACTTGATTGGTTTGGAATCGGAGCCTTTTCTCCTGCAATTCCAGGTGTCCCTAAGGCATCTGTTATCCAGAACCAAGTGGAGGAATGAAAGCGGCAGCATCTTTAAAAGAATGTTTATTGGAAGGGATTGCGAGAGCTTGCGAAGTCATGAAGGAAAAAGTTTTTTAGAGTCATTATGAAATGGAAATGGTAATACTGCACTCTGTGTGAATAGATTCAGTTTCCTTCATCTGGGGCACATGCGTATGATCAACTTTGGACTTCTTTTGAGATTGGCAGGTAGGGTGAAAAACAGATCTAGAGGAAAGCACATACTTATATTTACATATGAATGCCCAATTTAGGTTGGAGAGGTCACAGAAGCCTCATAAGGGTGACATTTACCCAAACCTAGTTCATTCAATAAATATTTTAGAGCCCTTATTAAGTTTGAAGCACTAGGGATATAACAGTGAACAAAACAAAAGTTCCTGCTCTCATGAAGTTTACAGTCCAGTGGGATTAATGAATTTAAGCAAGCCAGGTGAAAGATTATGAGAGTATTACAGTTAGGAGGATTGTCCTACAAGCCCCCAGTCATGAAAGAGGTGATTGTCTTCCTTTGCTTTTGCTTTTTGATGTTTGCAGATTTTTTTGTGGGGGTAGGGGCGAGTTACTTTTGTGATTTTTGCTAAAGGGACCTTGGAAATGGCTATAATTGTGTAGATGGAAACATAAGACCGCTATATTTTGATCACTTAATTCCAATAATTCTATAGCTATTATTTTTGCGGTACTTTGTAGACTGGTAAAGAGATAGGCAAAAAGATATGTATAGATTCTGCCCTTAAAATACTCAGAGTTTTATAGGGGACATAACACTTGTGCCAAAAAAAAAAAAAAAAATGCTTCAAGGTAGAAAGTTGCACTACCATGAAAAATCACTATGAGATATCCTTGAAGGGAGAGATTATTAACAGGATTTGGAGTGGAGAGGGGCACAACAGCTGTCAGTGAAGTCTTCATGAGAAGTAGCATTTGAACAGGTCTTGATAGGATGTAGAAATATAAAAATGAGTGAAAAGCTTCCCAGACAAAAAAATAAGAGTGGGAAGGCCAGCTAGCTATTAGGCAGATCTGAGGATGATAAATGATAATTTTTGTGCCAATTACTCAATCTTCTTAAATGCTAAGCGAAGAAATTTAGGCTTTATTTAGAAGGTGATAGAAAGCCCTAACTTCTTAGCATGAACTTTTTTTTTTTTTAATGAAAAAGAAGAAAATTGGATTTCAGGAAAATTAGTGTGGCAACAATGTTGAAGTCAAGGAAAATAACATGGCTATTGCCATAGTTCAAATAAGTTAATAAAAACTGAATTCCAGTAGTGGCTGCTCAAGTGAAAAGTAGGACAAGTGTGAAAAATTTTGCTGTCAAAATCCACAGGAGAGACCTGCTGATTATTTGACTCTAAAGAATAGAGGAGGACTCAGTGAAGGAAAGATTTGGGTCTCAGACCTGACTAACAGAAAGTTGTATCATTCATTGAAAGTAAGAGCAGGACAAGGAACTTTTCGGGAAGATAATCAGAATCTCAATTTTAGTTATATCTGAATTTGAGATGCCATTAAGGAGCCAGATAGACACATACACTAAGCATTTGGAAACATGGGATTTAAATTGAAAAGATTTGGCTTGCATTTGTAATCCCAGCACTTTGGGAAGCCACAACAGAAGGTTTGCTTGAGCCCAGGAGTTTTAGACCAGATAAGAACAACATAGTGAGACCCTGTCTCTACCAAAACTTTAAAAAAAAAAGATTAGCTGGGTGTCGGTATGGTGGTGCATGTCTGTAGTCCTAGCTGCTTGGGAGGCTGAGGCAGGAGGGTCACTTGAACCCAGGAGTTCAAGGCTGCAGTGAGTCATGATCTCAGTGCACTCCAACTTGGGTGACAGAGCAAGACCACATCTCAAAAAAAAAAAGAAAAAAAGGAGAGAGAGAGAGATTATAGTTGAGGTAAAACATATTAAATCATCTGCCCAGAGATGATAGTTGAAAACCTGATATGTGTAGGATTACCAAGAAGAAACTGCTAGCAGAACTAAGAAGATAGCCAAGGACAAAAACTTGGGCAATACCAAAAGCAACAAAGATCAGAAGATAAGCCAAAGAAAGAGTAGTGAGAGATAGAAGAGGACAAACAGAAAAGTTGAGTGTAACAGAACTCAAGGGAGGAGAAAGTTTTATGAAATTGGAAGTAGATAACAAGTATTTACTTGGCCGACATTTACTGTTATCTGCTGTTTTCCAGGAACTCTGCCAGACAGGGGTTACAGCAGTAGGTAAAACCAATCCACTGCCTGCCTACATGGAACTTAAATTCTATTGAGAAAGAAAGATTATTTACATAATTAACAGTGTGATTAATATTATAAATAAGTACAGAATGTTTTTGGACTATAAAATGGTAAAACTTCTAATTTTGTTGAGGGAATGTGCAGGAAAAACTGAAACTTCAGAGGTGACTTAAGATGGAGGTGGGGGTGGCACTCTTTCTACTGAAGTGCTAAGGTAAGAAAGAGTATCTTGGAGGACTTGAAATGAGTCAGATAGCTATAAAACAGAGTGGGAATGGCCTAAGATACTACATAACATTTAATAAGTGTGAACTATGTGCCAGGTACTGTTGTAACTTCCTTATATGTGTTACCAGATCATATAGAGCAATGGTCCCCAACCTTTTTGGCACCAGGGACCAGTATCATGGAAGACAATTTGTCCATGGACCCTGGGAGTTGTGCGGAGGTGGGGTGATGGAGGTATGGTTTCAGGATGGTTCAGTGAATTACATTTATTGTGCACTTTATTTCTATTATTATTATTACATTGTAATATATAATGAAATAATTAGAAAACTCACCATAATTTAGAATCAGTGGGAACCTTGAGCTTGCTTTCCTGCAACTAGACAGTTTGATTTGGGGGTTATGGGGGAAACTGTGATGGATCATCAGGCATTAGATTCTCATAAGGAGCACACAACCTAGATCACTGACATGTACAGTTCACAAGAGGTTTCATACTCCTATGAGAATCTGATTCTACTACTGATCTGACAGACAGAGCTCAAGTGGCAGTGCAAGTGATGAGCAGCGGCTGTAAATACAAACGAAGCTTCACTTGCTTGCCTGCTGCTCACTTACTGCTGCATGGTCTGGAGGTTAGGGACCCCTGATGTAGAGAATTAGAGACCTTGTTAGAATCTTATTCCTTAACCTTTGGATTATAAGAAGTGATAAAAGGATTTTAAGCAAGTGAGTGATATGAAAAGGTTTAGAGGATGACAAGAGTGATTGTGGGGAGACTGATTAAGTTATTGCAGTGGGTCAGAAAATAGATAATGATAGGTTGGTCAAAGGTGATGGCAGTAAAGATTGAAAAGGGTGGATAGATTTGAGATATGTTTAAGAGGTTTAGTTATTGAATTGGGGGTGGGAATTAAGGAAGTGGGAAGAGTTAAAGCTGCTTCCGAGTTACTGGCTTGGGCATTAGGGTAAATATCATTTGAAAAAGGGATTACTAGAGGAAGAACTGGTTAGGAGAAAAGGGAAGAGTGTATGAGTGGCTCTGTTGAAGACATGTTCAATAGGAGGCACCGATGAGATATCCATGTCAACCTGGCAGTTGGATCTTGGGAGAGAGGCATAGACTGCAGAGATATATTTGTAATCACTGGCAAAATATTATATGTATATCAGATTGTCTGGGGCAATAACTCCCAAACTTTAGAGTAGTAGATAGAATTGCCTGGAAGGTTTAATACAGATTTCTGGACCCTACTCCTGGAGTTTTGTCTTCAGTAGGCCTAGAAATGGAGACCAAGAGTTTGCATTTCTGAGTTCTGACGTGATCCCTATGCTGCTGACCCGGAGAACACATTTTTGGAAAAAGATAGAACAAATCAAGGAGAGACCCAGAACCTAGCATTGAGGATCTCATTTTGAATTGGATAGGAAGAACCTACAAAGATAACTGACAAAGAAGTAGGAGGGAAAATTAGATGTATTAGGTTTACCTGACTGAGGCTGCAAATGACTCGTGAGAGCATTTTTATGGAATAGTGGGGACAAAGGCCAAATTGCAAGAATTGCTGTGTAAATAGAAAAAATGAAGAAAAAGAGTACAAAAGTAGATGATTTCTGAGAAAGTTTTGTTATAAAAGAGAAAAGATAGAAGATATTTGAATATATTTAAATGTCAATGAAAAGGTGCCAGTAGAAAAGGCTGAAAAAAAAGATATGGTAAATAATTCATAGGTCAAGGTTTGAGAGATGACAAGAAGAGATAGGATCAAATCTAGGTGACATTGCATAGAGAGCCACCTTCTCCTTTTTTATTAGATGGGAAAGAAGAAAGGATGGGTGCAAGTAAATTTGTAGATGTACTGGAAGGAAATTTACTTAATTACTCTCTGACAGCTTCTTTTTTTTTTTGTGAAGTAGGTGAGGCCATCTATTGAAACACAGAAGCGATTTTAAAAGAAAAGTATAACTGATCTTTGCAGAAAATACAGAAGTGAGTTGACCAGAGAATTGTGAGAGAATTGCCAAGTTGTATTGAATGCCAAGCTGAGATTGGTGATTCTGAAGGTACAGAGTGTATATGTATTCCTTTCAGTTGGACTTAGAGTTTGGGTGCAGCCAGAGAGAGAAAATAGCTAGCAGGGTGGATGTCTATAAAATAGGTAAAACTGTAAGGCTTTCAGGTGCCTAGAGTACTGAATGAGTTATTGAAAGGTTGGACAACAGAATGAGCTGGATAGGAAGTAAAATGGCATCCTGCAATAAATCAAGGATAATAAGAGATAGAGAGAAAGATCATTGTTTAGTAATGGGGATTTCTGTGTTATATGCATTTGACACAGCTAATTCCTAGTATCACCTAAGAATTCGCTCCTATCAATAATACTACTACCACTTCCCTAGGTCATTGAAAGTTTAAAGTGGTAAATATTAATTTTCTGACATTCTTCTTTTTTTAAAGCAACACCTACGTTTTAAAATGAAACCTGCATTTAATATATTAAATTTCTTTCATGTATACATTTTTCTTTCATATACACACACACAGGACTTTGTGTTTTCTAGAACACTAATCCATAGTAAGAATGATATGGCTCTTTTACAGTCTGTTTTGGCCATGGGTGTAGGAATATACAGGAAAGGAATATACAGGAATTATATGGAAGTAATGTGATTTGGTGTAACTCCAGGAAAATATTTTTGTATGTATAGAGCAACACAGTTACACCAAGTTGCCAACCTCTTGTGACTGCTGTAGAAACAACTTCTTTCACTATACGGATATTTGCCAGTAAGGAAGGAGAACTAACAGAAATTAGAGAAGGCAACAAAAAAGGGAGAGTAAAAGTAAGATAGAAAACTAAAATATTAAATATAAACCACGTAACAATGAGTGTTTTATTTTAGGCTCAGCTAGTGTTTTCTGTTTGGTGAAAAAACAAAAAGGCCAAGAGGGTGCCAATAAGGAGAAAGCAGAAGGGGCAAGAAATTGGAGGCTTCTGTAATAAAGAACAAGTAGAATGAGAATAGAGAAATGAATAAATAAATACAAAAGAAAGATTGACTTGGTACCTTGAAGGGATCCCTGGGTTAAGGCAGTGGAAGAGATAGAGTAATGGAAGATTGTAGTCAAAAAGGAGAATTGATTGTAATAAAAGAGAAGAATAGTTGTGGCAAGTTTCAGATTTCACTGGCTGAAGATAAAGCTCCTTGAGGTTCACAATCAATTATATACATACACTAGTATCACTATGTATGTGAATAGATTTTTTTTTAAATAAATAAGTAGAACTGGGTGTGATGGCTCATGCCTATAATCCCAGCACTTTGGGAGGCCGAGGTGGGTAGATCACAAGGTCAGAAATTCGAGACCAGCCTGACCAACATGGTGAAACCCCGTCTATACTAAAAATACGAAAATTAGCCAGGCGTGGTAGCACGCACCTGCAATCCCAGCTACTCAGGAGGCTGAGGCAGGAGAATTACTTGAACCCAGGAGGCAGAGGCTGCAGTGAGACAAGATCCTGCCACTGCACTCCAGCCTTTGTGACATAGTGAGACTTCATCTCAAAAATAAATAAATAAATAAAAATAAATTTAAAAGTTAATATTTTTTTCCCTGCATTCCACTGTGGGGACCACTGGGCCAGAAGGCCTTGTTAGTAATTTAGGTCAGGGGTACAAAGTCTGTTAAGTTTTATAATGGCAAGATTGCATAAACAGAACTGACTCCAAGGTTCCAGCTGGAATGTTGGTGTTGATGACTTCCATAGTCTTGTAATCTAGGTGCTGACTCTTATCATCTAATCTGTAATGCAAAGCTTTTACCTGTGGTTGTAGAAATACATAGCAATAAATACTTGGCTTTCATTTTTTCAGCATAGAAATTTCAGGTAATGGTTTTTCTAATATATCACAAGGATTCTTTTAGGTGTCAACCCTTTAATCAGTACCCAACAAAAGAAATTGTTTTATAACAATCTGGATAAGTAAACTGCTATTCCCATTACCTAGATGAAATGAGATCAGTAGAAAGATTAGTAAACTGTCACAGGAGTGGAGTTTAAAGAAAAAAAAAATTAGGCTGTTACTCTTGTATATGCTGAAGGAATGGCACATTTACCCTTTTAATCATGGAAATTTTATTGAGGAGCTATTTTTTCCTCAAAATATACTTGGTGACCAGCCCCATGAGTAAATTTTAAAATAACTTACCTGTACCTGTTATTATGTAGAGGTGATGTATGTAATGATATAATTTTAAGAAGTGACAGAGGCTGCTTTTCAATTTTGTTAAATTCTTATAACAGTTTGAGATAAGGTTACTTTTTCATTATAGTACGGGCCTTTGGACTCCTTTTCTTGGGTGATTCAGATGATATTTTAGTAAAGTACAGAATTCGACAATAATTTTGAAGTTATCAGGTAGATAACTAATACCTTCCTGGAAACTTTTTTAAAAAAAGCCTAGGGATGTGTATGTGTGCCTCCTGTCAGATGTGGAGAGGGATGAGGAGTGCAGTTGGAGGGGTGGGAACAAACAAAATCCATTTTCAGACGTGCTTTCATATGCCAGGATTCAACCTACGGCAAGTTTTAATGGTGTTATAAACCCCTGAAAGTGGGAGATAACTGTGGAATTGCTGACAGTTCCCTAACTGTAGCAGTGCAAGTGTGTTGCATTATTATAATATTAACCTCAAGGATAGAAGAAGATTTCAAGCTATAATATATTGTTCAAAGGATTGAACACAAAGAATACATTCTTATTCTGATAATTTTTTGCCTGGAGAGGTCTTTGAAAAAGTGACAGCCAGAAGCAGAACCACATGATAGCATTGGTATTAACTAAAAACAAAACTTTTTAATGTGGAATTTCATAAGCCTTTGATGTATATCTTTATCCATCTTGGCTATTTTTAAGGTCCTTAGGACGCAAAGCATCATAGGCACGCTGTGTGTGTGTGTGTGTGTGTGTATGTGTGTGTCCACATGCGTGTTTCAAGTAGATAGGATATCCCCCCTCAGAGACCTTACTTTTAAAAATAGGTTAATGCATGAGCTACCACAATCTAAATAAGGTTATCATTAATATGTTTTTGAGACATTAAGAGTTGAAGTAAAAGCGACAACAGTGACCGTGATAGCTAATCACTTAACACACCTTTTCACAACTGCCCTCTTGTGAAACCCCGTACACACACGCACAAACACGTCAACACTATCTTTATTTGTGTTATGGAAATAAAGTTTGAGAGAAGAAATTTCAATACAGAGTAAACTTGACCTAAACACATCAAGTTCTATGTACTGAAACTGTAAAGTGTATCTTTTAAAACAGGTAGGAAGGAGTTCTGTGGCAGGGAGAAGCTTACATGCATTTAAAACTTTACCATTGAGATAGATACACAGAAAACTGATAATGCTAGTTGTTTCAGGGGGAAGAAACTAGATAATGACTGTCAAGAGTAAGAAGGAAGTTTACTTTTATCTGTAATAACTTTTTGGTAATTTTAAATTTTGTATCGTGCACATTATTATCTATTATAAATAAAAACCAAAAGTACAACTTTGACATAGGTAATTGTGCATTGTCTTCTAAATTACTTCCTCTTTTTTTCCTTCAGGTGTTTGCAATGGCTGCTACTGTGAACTTGGAACTTGATCCCATTTTTTTGAAAGCACTAGGTTTCTTACATTCAAAGAGTAAAGATTCTGCTGAAAAGCTAAAAGCACTGCTTGATGAATCTTTGGCTCGGGGCATTGATTCCAGTTACCGTCCATCCCAAAAGGTACCTACATGAATAAAAAGCTTGGAGAGAGTTTTGTAAGGCATGTAGTAGTACATTGATAACATATAGACCATCTCAAAACAGTCTCAGCTGAAATAATCTTTCCATGTGGCACAAAGTAATTATATTCTTTATTTTTTTTTCTTTCCTTAAAGTTTTTACACCACACAGAAAAATTGGCTTCAATTTCCGATTCTTTATGATCAGAATTTTTTTTTTAGTTGCTGAATGTAACCACAACTTACTTCTAATTATTCTCTAATGTTTTAAGGATTAAAAAAAATAAAAGGACAGATTTTCCAACAAAATAAATTGAATATGGGTAGGAAAATTTAAGAGAAAAGGAGGTATGGATGAACTTGGAGAACTGTGTAGCCCTTATCTTGATAATAACAAAGTAGCCAATGGTGGCTTTATGTGAAGAGAATATACGTTTTGAAACCACACATACCTGTTTTAAATCCCACTTATGTGTGATGATAATAGACAACATATCTTGATGTCCCAGGCACTTTTCTGAGTAGTTTAGGTGAAAAATTAATTTTAATTATAATGATCCTTTAAGATAGATACTTTTTTTTTCATTTTACATAAGGAAACTGAGGTATGTAGTAACTTCATTTCACCTAGTCTCTGTTTATTGGTAAAATGGGGATAATAAGGACTACTTTGCAGAGTTGTAAAAATGGAAGGAGATACAGTAAATAAGTCAGCCTGGTACATAATAGGCTGTCAGTGAATGACAACTCTTATTATATTTCCTAATACCTACTAAGATATTCTTTTGAATTCTTCTAAGCTCTGGCCCTGAAACTCCAAATCACTCAGGTCTGTGGACCCAGGCTCAGAGCCCAAGTAAATGCTGGTATTTTGTCCCCAAAAGGTAGAACATGACTAGCTCAAGCCTAACCAGAATCTGAAGTTCAAGAGAGGATCAAGTCCCAAGCTCAGAGCCCAAGTAATTGCTGGTGTTTTGTCACCAGCCACCTTTCAACACTAGGTCTAGTACTCTGAAGCCTTTTTATTGTACTTTGAATAGCAGAAACATTGTGACTTCATTTCTTCCATCCATTCTTATTCCAGTAGGTTCATGAGTTCAGACTGAGCAAATCAATACAGGCTGGTCTCAAACTCCTGGACTCAAGAAATCTGTCTACTTTGGCTTCCCAAAGTGCTGGGATTACAGGCATGAGCCACCACGGCTGGCCCACAATATACTTTTAAGTTTCATTTGCATTATTAACATTTTCTTCAACACTTTACTAAGTCTACACCAGTGGTCAACAGACTCTATAAAGAGCCAAATTTGTGGTTCGGATGGTCTCTGTTGCAACTATTTAATTCTGCGATGGTAATGTGAAAGCAGCCATACATTATACATAAATGAATGGTGTGGCTGTGTTCTAATATAAGTGTTTATAAAAAACTATTTATAGGCCTCAGTTTGCTAACCCATTGTCTAAGCAGTCAGCACAATAATATATCAAGCCCTGCCACCACTAGTTCAGATTTTTCCTTTCCCTTCTTTTCCTTCTCAGAGGTAATTACTATTCTGAAATTGATGTGTATTATTTCCATTTATACTTGTGTACTTTTACATATTATCACAGTAAAATGAAATGCATCAGCTGCTTTACTTTTATTTAGAATAGCATGGAGTACCTCCCTTTTTAGGGAGAGGGTTTTCCGAGGAATTGCCATATACATAAACAAGTTTATGCATACTATTAATAACAATAAATAACAAGTTATCTATATCAGCAAAGCTATAATACATGAAGAAGGAATTGAAGTTTTAAACAGAATGAAAAAACTAGCCACACACTGAGAGAAAATATTTGCTAATCATATATCTGATAAAGGCCTTGTACCCAAAACCTATGAAGAACTCTAAAACCAATAATGAAACAAACATTCATTTTTTTAATATGGGCAAAATATTTTATCAAATAGTTTACCAAAGAAGATATATGTATGCCAAATGAACACTTGAAAAAATACTTAACATCATTAGCCATTGGGGAAATGTAAATTAAATCTACAATGAGATACCACTACATACTCATTAGAACATCTACAATTTTAAAAGACTAGCCATACCAAGTATTGGTGAGGCTAGGAAGGAATTGGAACTCTCAGATATGCTTGGTAGAATTGTAAAATGGTACTACCACAGTTTGGCAATTTTTAAGAAATTAAACATATTATTACTAAGGAAACAAAAATGTTTTAGTGGGGTTCTAAAATGGAAGTTTATCTCACAAAGAACGTACAAAATTAGTTGTGATGAAAAATACTTACCATATAACCCACTCCTAGATATTTATTCTAGAGAAGTAAAAACATAGGTATGTCCAAATACTTGTACATGAATATTCGTAACAGCTTTACTTCTAATAGTCCCAAACTGTAGACAACCCAAATATCCACCAATAGGTAAATTGATAAAGAAATTGTGGTATATTCATTCAATGGAATATTATTCAGCAATAAAAAGGAATGAACTATTGATACACTTAACAACGTGGATGAATTTCAAAAGAAATATTCTAAGTAAAAGAAGCCAGACCAAAAAAGAGTACATACTATATGATTCCATTTATATAAATTTCTAGGAAATGCAAACTAATCTATTGTTTCAGAAAACAAGTAAGTGATTGCTTGAGGATGGGAGACATATTTTCTCTAGGGTGTATATCTGTAAGAGGGTAATAACAAAGGGCCACAAGGAAATTTGGAGGGGTGATACATATGTTCATTATGTTGATTGCAGTGATAGTATCACAGAGGTATATATATGTCAAAACTTTGAAATTTTGCACTTTAAATAAGTGCGGTTTGGGCTGGGCATGATGGCTCATGTCTGTAATCCCAGTACTTTGGAAGGCTGAGCGGGTGGTTCATCTGTGGTCAGGAGTTCGAGACCAGCCTGGTCAACATAGTGAAGCCCTGTCTCTACTGAAAATACAAAAATTAGCGGGGTGTGGTGGCACGCCTGTAGTCCCAAATACTTGGGAGGCTGAGGCAGAAGAATTGCTTGAACCCAAGAGGCAGAGGTTGCAGTGAGTCAAACTGTGCCACTGTACTCCACTCTGTTGCCACTCCAGCGCAACAGAGACTCCATCTCAAAAAGAAAAGGTACAGTTTATATATCAATTATTTCTCAATAAAGCTATTTAGCTATTTAAGAAAGGAATATTACATTGGTTATAATGAAATGTCTTAATTTTTAACTGAAAATTGTTTTGATTAATCCATTTTTTATAATTAGTCTTAATATTTAATTACTGGTATCTTTTTTCAACTTTTAGGATGTGGAGCCACCCAAAATTTCAAGCACAAAAAACATTTCCGTTAAGCAAGAGCCCAAAATATCATCCAGTCTTCCTTCTGGCAATAATAATGGCAAGGCCCTCACAACTGAAAAGGTAAAGAAGGAAGCTGAAAAGAGACCTGTTGATAAAGTAAGATTTTGTTTTAATCTTGTTAAAAGAAAAAAAGTTAATTAGTTGTTCCATAGGCAGAAAGAAACAATGTTTTATGCCTGTTTCTTTTATGTAGTAATAGGTATAGATATATAATAGTCATCACTCAGTGAATATATATTGATAGCTATAGATTTTGACTTTTCAAAAAATGAGTAAAATTTACAAATTTTAAAGTTAAATGGTTAAAAGTTGTTATCAGTAAATATTTGAGTCCTAGGAAGTATAGTAATTTTGAGTGTAAACTTTACTCTATGACTCAGAGATCCTAGATGGAACAGTCGTTGAGAAGAAAAGATGGTTACACTTTGGGAGGCTGAGGCAGGTAGACTGCTTGAGCTCAGGATTCAAGATCAGCCTGGGCAACATGGTGAAACCTCACCTCTACAAAAAATACACAACTCAGCTGGGCATGGTGGCACGCACCTGTAGTTTCAGTTATTTGGGGTCCAGGGGGTTGAGAGAATTGCTTAAGCCCAGGAGACAGAGATTGCAGTGAATGGAGTTCGTGCCACTGCACTCCAGCTTGGGTGAGGGAGTGAGGTGCTGTCTCAAAAAAAAAAAAAAAAACTAAAGCAAGAAAGCAAAGATAGGAAAACACATACATGTAAATGACTAAACATAAACTTTATAGAATGGCATGCACCTAAACGGGGCCAAAGATAATTCTTGGATTGTCTATTTTTAGATGATTTCTACAAATAGTAATTAAGATTTTAGTAATTAGGAAAAAAATACATTTAAAACATATCTTCAGTAATCCTTGCCCTCAGGATGGACTATATTATCCCGTATGTTTTCATACTTTTGCTAAATAGTGGCTATTCATAAACTGTTATATTATTTCTCTGCTTTTAGATTTACATAAATGAGGCTGGGCACTGTGGCTCATGCCTGTAATCCCAGCACTTTGGGAGGCTGAGGCAGGTGGATCACTTGAGATCAGAAGTTTGAGACCAGCCTGGCCAACATGGCAAAACCCCATCGCTACTAAAAATAAAAAAAATTAGCCAGATTTGGTGGCAGACACCTGTAGTTCCAGCTACTCAGGAGGCTGAGACATGAGAATCGCTTGAACCCAGGAGGTGGAGGTTGCAGTTAGCTGAGATTGCACCACTGTACTCCAGCCTGGGCAACAGAGCAAGACTCTGTCTCAAAAAAAATATGTAAATGATATCATACAGTGTGTGTGTATATATCCTTTGGTAACATTTTCTTCACTCAACTATGTGCTTTTGAAATTTATGTATATTGATGCATATAGATCTAGATTTCTTTTAGCTACTGTATAATACTTATTCTGTAAATTAACTAGTTTATCATTCCCCTACTGATGTACAATTAGATATTTCTCCTTTTGTTCTATTAAAATGCAGTTTAAGTGAACTACATTGTATATATGTCATGTTAATAGTTTCTATAGGAGGTATACTTATGAGTGGTTGTAATAGGATATGACATCTTCAACATTACTGGGCATTGCCAAATTGCTATCAAAAGTAGATGTACTAAATTTACACTCTCATCAACAACATATAAGAATTCCAAATTCCATATCTTACCAGGCTTCTTCATTTTTGCCAATCTAATGGGCATATTAATAATATTTATACCTTAAAGAAGGGAATCTGAATTTGCTCTGAAGCAAACATGGTAATGTGTTAAGTTTATACGGTAGAAGTAAATCCATACTAGTAAGTCTGTACTGGTAAGGCTGTACTAGTATAAGTAAATCTATCAAACTTCCAGAATTCTTTAACAGAAGTACAAAGTAAAATACAAATGTTTGTTAAACTGTTGTGATTTATTTATTTCTATCTTGCTGGTTTCATTTAATGTACTGATAAATTTGTTGCAATTCTTCTACAGATCTTTAATGTGCACATTTGTCCCTAAATATGTGAATATATCTGTAAAATCAACTTGATCATTGCCTACTGTCCTTCTTATTCATCTTTCAGTGACTTAAGGTTTATTTTACCACATTACTTTATTATTTTCTGATGCCTGCTTTTTATAGATAAAATCAGACGTCACTGAAGGAGTTGATATTCCAAAGAAACCTAGATTGGAGAAACCAGAGACACAGTCCTCTCCCATTACTGTCCAAACTAGCAAGGACTTAGCTATGGCTGACCTTTCCAGTTTTGAGGAGACCAGTGCTGATGATTTTGCCATGGAAATGGGATTGGCCTGCGTTGTTTGTAGGTAAGTTGTGCCTTGCCACAGATTCTTTTGTTATTTTGTAAAGAACAGACAACCCCTTTCCACTCCCGAACCCCCAAATCAGAACAATTGTTGCACATTTTCCATTTTGTTTTTATTATTTGGAACTGGGGTGGAGATAAGTAGATGCCTTATGAACTGCCCGTATAACACCTTAACATGTCGAAAATTGTCAACAGTTTTGTCTTCCCAACTGTAACTTTTAAATCTGTTATGTTGTAGTAACATTTTCTGCATTTTTGTGTTCTAGAGGGAAAGCAATTATTATATTATGATATATATATCTATGATCATCTAAGGCTATGGTGATTGCTTTTTGTATTGTTGGAATTTATACTTTTTTATACACATGTGGTTTCATTCAATTAATCTCATCACACATTTATTGAGCACCCTGTGTGTAAGCAGTAATGTGCTAAGCACTGTGGATTATTAGGTCCAGTTCTCACCTTCAGGTAACTCATATTAATGAAGAACAACAATAACATATAGCTAACTAACGTAAGGGAATTTAATAGAGATACATGCAAAATGTTATGAGACTGTTGGAGGACTAGTCAGAGTCGACTACCTTCTGAGAGGAAGACAAAAATTACAATGAGAAATGACAAGGAGAAAATAGCCAAATTTAATTAAGGCATTCTATATATTATTGCTGACCAAAAGCTTTAAAAGTTTATGCTTTTGTGCATGATATGTGTTGGGTTTGTTATTTTGCTCTTTGGATTTCTGGGATTTTTTTTTTTCCTTTTTAATATACCAAACATTACCAGAACAACCCTGAAATAACTTTTTTTTCTTTTTGAGACAGAGTCTCACTCTGTCACCAAGGCTGGAATGCAGTGGCATGATCTTGGCTCACTGCAACGTCCACCTCCTGGGTTCAAGTGATTCTCCTGCCTCAGCCTCCCAAGTCGTGAGGATTACAGTCATGCACTACCATGCCCGGCTAATTTTTGTATTTTTAGTAGAGACAAGGTTTCACCATGTCAGCCTGGCTGGTCTTGAACACCTGACCTCTAATGATCTGCCGTCTCTGGCCTCTGGGATTGCAGGCATGAGCCACCATGCCCAGCCCCTGAAATAACTTTAAATTATTGCATTAAAAAAAGTAGTGTAATGTCTAATGGTATCTTTTCTTAGGCAAATGATGGTGGCATCTGGTAATCAATTAGTAGAATGTCAGGAGTGCCATAATCTCTACCACCGAGACTGCCATAAACCCCAGGTGACAGACAAGGAAGCAAATGACCCTCGCCTGGTGTGGTATTGTGCCCGATGCACCAGACAAATGAAAAGAATGGTAGGAATCATATTTTTCTTTATTTTAAACAGTCTGTCAATGTTTTTGTTGGTTTGGTCTTTCAAAACAAAGATTTGAATATTTAAGTTACTGAAAAAAATAAACTATTAGCTGATTATTTAAATGTTTGTATGTATAGTATTTATATTCGATTAATATTTCTATGCCTAAAGACCAGACAATGTTATGTGCATTTTTCTCTGTTTAGTTTTGTCTAATTCTAATACAGACAAACAAGATTGGTGACACACAAATTATGAATATTGCTTACTAGCCTGTCAACGTATTCATAAACATTTAAAAATAGCATGCAGCACTGAGAAGTGGTGAGATACAAAGCCCCACTATTTGTTGAGGTCTGGTAAGGAAATACAGAAAATTCCTGAGTGAGCTTAAACCACCGAATGTCTAAGATGTGCACAGAGGCAATATTTATATGTATGTATTTGTCTTTCCAGCTGTGTTTCTCTATTGCTTAGTCTTTCCTTTTCATTGTCCTCAAGTGACCATTTATCTCATTCTTTCAATTTACTTTCTCTTTTTATTGTTTACTAACATACCCCCCTTTAACAGCATAGTGAAATGTCTTTTCATTTGTTATACTGGATAGTTTTCTAACTTTTATTCACTTATATAGTAGATAAATGTTACAAGAAATTGCTATAATGTCCTATTCACCACTTCTCCCTCCCACTTCCATCTCTAGTCCCTGTCTTAAAATAGTGATTCTCAATTGAGGAGTTCTCATGTCTGTCAATTAAATGAATTTCTACATAAATTTGTCTAACCAATATATCTTTTAAAGGTCAGAGTACTTAGTTAAAAGTAAAAATTCAAGATACCCATTTTACTTTTTAATCAGTTAAATCAGAAATAGGAAGTGTTTTTATTTATTCCTATGAAATAAATAGTAGTAAATGAAAAGTGTGTATATCAATAGTGTGTATATTTCTTGCTTGCAACAGGAAATTTCTGTGACAAGTTACAATCTCTTCCACTCAGTTTGATTTTTATTTAATTTATTATTTAAATTAGCCCTCCAGGATCTCAACTGAAATTACTACATGTAGTAACTAATGTAGATGAGCAATACATTCCAGAGCATTGATAAGAAGCTACTAAGAATTGGAAATTGTCAAAAGAAACAAATTATGACAATAATGTCTTTCTTTAGTATGTCCTCAATGTTTCATTATTATTATTATTATTATTATATTACTTTAACTCCCTTACTAGCTAAAGTAAGCACTATTCTTTCCCATGTTTTTTCTCCTCCATTTTTTCTGATTTATTTTATGTCAAATCTATGTTTATGGTTCTAACCCTTCTTCCTGGGTGAGCTTCTATAGCTGACTAGTCTATAGATACTTTAAATTTAATATATTTAAAAGTAAAAGTTGTCCTTTGTCCAGTTTTTTTTCTGCAATTGCCTGAATTAGAAAACATCTTTGATGCCTCTCTTAATTCCATATCCCTTTGTTTACCAGATGTTTTAATTCTACCTCTTATATCTCTCTGAAATCTATTCATTTCTCTTTTATTACTGTTTCACAAATCCATTGCTTGTCTATTGCAATAGCCACTTAAGAGATCTCCTTGCTTCCCATCAATCCACTTTGCCTACTATATCATTAGAATTATTCTAAAATATTTATCTGTTTCTATATGCCCAGTGGCTCTCAATTACTTATATAATGAGGTTATACTCATTAGGGTGTATATATGGACCTTCTCTTTTTGACCTGACTCTACCTTACAGCTTCTTGTCTCACTGCTTCACCGTACACATTCATATACTCTGGCCACTCTGGCGTAGACTAAGTGTGCCATTCCCTGAATATGTGGAGAACTTTCATTTTCCTATATATTTTGTTTCTCAGCTTCTTCTCTTCATCTGGGATACTGTTTATTCTTTATCTGCTTTGTAAATTATCTAATTTATCTATAAGATCATGTAGTTCATTGGCATAGCACATAAGCAGAGCTTAAGACTGGATGCATTCTACATTCTGTTCTTATTTTAAGTTAAGTAAAATGAAGTAAATGGAATTTTTTTTTTTTTTTTGAGACAGGGTCTCACTTTGTTGTCTAGGTTGGAGTGCAGTAGAGTGACTGTGGCTCACTGCAGCCTCAACCTCCCCGGCTCAAGCAATCCTCCTACCTCAGCCTCCCAAGTAGCTGGGACTACAGGCGTGTGCCACCAGGCCTAGCTAGTTTTTTAAATTTTTTGTAGAGATAGTCTCACTGTGTTGCCAGGGCTGGTCTTGAGCTCCTGACCTCAAGTGATCCTCCTGCCTCAGCCTCCTGAAGTGCTGGGATTACAGGCATGAGCCACTATGCCAGGCTAAATGTAGATTAGTACCAGAAATCAACAGTAAATCTGGTCTGTGTGTCCAAAAGTCAAAGTAGCAAATGGGGAGTCATGGCTAATATTAGAACATGACTAGAATACACCCAGAGTAGATGTGGGGAGATACCAAAAGACATAATCTGAAGTGAGCCTAAAGATCAGAATCCAGAAAATATAAGGTTTAATGAGAGAGTTTTGGAACAGTGGGGATTCTAAATCCATCATTCTAATTATAATTGCTTTGAGTGAGATTCTTACATGTACATTGGTTATTGTTCCAAGGTATCTCAAAGATATTATAAATAGCACCTGATATCCCCTTTCTCCTTGCACAGATTCCTTAAACTGGGGCAAGTTCTGCAATATGCATTATTGTAGGAAGACCTAGTTAAGAATGTTGTGTTTATGTATGGCAGGGTCCAAGGTTATTCTTCAGTTCTGTAATTTTCTCTCTACCCAGTAGTGGGTTTTTCCCCAGTTTCAGGTGAAAGACTCAAAACACTTATTGCCATGGTTCTCAATCTAAGGTAGTAACACACTCCTATTTTGCAGCATTTAGAAATATGTGGGTTTTTTTTTTTATTGCTGCCATTCTGGCAGCTAGTGCCTTAGTGGAGAATTTTATTACATTGTGCAATGTGTGAAGCAGTCACCCAATGAAAATTTTAGTGCCTTTGTTGAAGAAAACTGAATCTGTAATTATATTGTAGTATTATCAGTAAAGGACAAAGGGTTATGGGTATTTCTTGCTCAGCTTCTAAGATGGCTGGATAAAACAGGGGAGGCAGAAGAAGATCCAAACATTATCTCACAACTAGAAGTACTTCCTGGGGCTTCACCATAATTAGTCTTTGTCTGTTAAAGCATGCAAGTTAGGTGGGTCCTCAAAATCTAACCTCTGGAGTAATAGATGTGAGTGGAAGTCAGTGTTAAGATTGAAAATCATGGTTTTGAAGTCATATGTTCCTGTTTTACTATGTGGGATGCATTCTCATAACATGGCTTTGCAATAAAGGGTAAGATAACCCTCCTTTCCTGCTAATAGGAGATATTTTACCACAGATAATCTTCCAACATTCTTAATATTCTTAATCTGATCGTTACTTTATAAATCGTGTTAAAGATAGGTGTAGTTTGATATGGAAGATATGTAGTATAAAAAGTGATATGAATTGAGATTTAAGGACCAAAACTGTATAGTTTGGCAAATAGTGGCACAAGATTACACAAGAAGGCCCAAACAAGACCAAAAAATAGGCCAAAGTTTGACTTCCAGAAATGGTGACAAATTGTTAATAAATTTCCTGGTATAGTACTGTATGGGCTTATGAAGATTATAAGACTGTGGAATGGGGGGGGGGCATCTTTCCCTATTCAGTATGGATGGATTTTTCTGAATTCAGTTTGCTTATCCTTTGTAAATAATAATGATGAATAAACAGTAACTTTTTGTTAGCACTCAACGTGTTCCAGACACTGTGCTAAAATAAACTCTTACATAGTCATGATTTATTTTCATGACAGATGATATTACCATTTTACTGACGAAGAGGATGAGGCTTTTAGAGATTCACATATTTTGCCTGAGGTAACATACCTAGAAAAATAGTTGCTGGGTTTTGTTGTTGTTTTTGTTTTGAGATGGAGTTGCACTCTTGTTGCCCAGGCTGGAATACAGTGGCATGATCTCAGCTCACTGCAACCTCCACATCCTGGGTTCAAGCAATTCTCCTGCCTCAGCCTCCTGATAGCTGGGATTACAGGTGTCTTCCACCATACCTGGCTAATTTTTGTATTTTTAGTAGAGTTGGGGCTTCACCATGTGGGCCAGGCTGGTCTTGAACTCCTGACCTCGAGTGAACCACCTGGCTCAGCCTCCCAAAGTGCTGGGATTATAGGCATGAGCCACTGCACCTGGCCAGTTGCTGGGTTTTAATCCCAGCTCTGTTTGACTCCAAAAATTACTCTTAAACACTGTGCATAACTGTTTATAAACAGCTGTAATTATCTACCTAGAAAACACTAAAAAATAAACTCAAAAATTATTAGAGTTTATAGGAGAATTTAGTAAAGTGCCTAGCTATGAAATAAAGGGAAAAAATTGATTATTGTGAAATAAAACTGAAAATGCTTATAAAAGAATAGTTGGTGAAAATTCTTTGATAACATAGAAATTTGTATTTATGAACTTTCTCTAAAGATTTAGTGTGGCTAGTTCTACAATGTGGAAAAACCTCAAAAAGTGTCATTATTTATCAGTAGTTTTTTTTTTTCTTCCATTTCTGCATGTAAAACCATATAAATGATCTGAGCTATGTTTTAATTTGTCCTCAGCAGCTGAGGGATTTATGCCTAGACCCCAAGAAGAAAATTCCTATGTATTTGACCAACCCCAATGAGAAATAAATGTACTTCATCATGAGTAAAGCAAATGGTTACATGTAGTTTGTGATTTTTCTTTTTTTAAAACAATTTTATCTCATTAAAATATTTAACCCTATTCTGTATTATTTCTAAAGTTTAATATTATCTTTACTGTTTAGAAACTAATACAGTCTGTAAAACCATTAATATAATGAAAATAATTTGTCAAAAAGCATATATATTCATTATCAAAATATTTTTTAAAATGTTCTACTGTATTTTATTTCAATGATGAGTCCTGTGTTAGATTATTATCTTTTTGTATTTTCAGTTAAGATTTTGTATCTGATTTAATCCACTGATTTTTACAGGCTCAAAAAACTCAGAAACCACCACAGAAACCAGCCCCTACAGTTGTTTCTGTAGCTCCTGTTGTGAAAGATCCATTGGTTAAGAAACCGGAAACTAAACTGAAACAAGAGACAACTTTTCTAGCATTTAAGAGAACAGAAGTCAAGGTATAGTAGATTCTATTTTTGTCTAAGATTATGTCTTAAAATTTAGTTGACTAAACAATAGTTGCTTGATAAAAAATTTAATGAGAAACTTTATTTACTAAATGGGTATATTTTAGAAATTAAGACTTCTATTAGGTAGAAAGGGAACATTTATATTATTATTTAATGTCTAACTCTGCTGTTTTTTTAATCACAAATAGGAATAGTCTATGATGATTCCAAAATGACATTGTTTACCATTCTTATATGGTTAGATACTTATCTCCAATTAGAAATCTGTTTTACATTCAGGCTGGGCAACCTGGCTCATACCTGTAGTCTGAGCACTTTGGAAGGCCAAGGCAGGTGGATCACCTGACATCAGGAGTTCAAGACCAGCCTGGCCAACATGATGGAACCCTGTCTCTACTAAAATACAAAAACTGTCCAGGTGTGGTAGCAGGCCCTGTAATCCCAGGCATGATGGTGGGCACCTGTAATCAGCTACTCGGGAGGCTAAGGCAGGAGAATCACTTGAACCCTGGAGGTGGAGGTTGCAGTGAGCCAAGATAGCGCCATTGCACTCCAGCCAGGGCGACAAGAGCAAAACTCCAACCCTCTTCCCCCACCCCAAAAAAATAAATCTGGTTTAAATTTTAAAATACCTCTGCCCCAAGTGGCAACAATTTTCCTCCCCACAGTACTTACACTACTTGAGCAGATTGGCCTTGTATTTTTTTTCTTCCTACTTATCAGCTATTGAAGGAGCTTTCTTGCTTTGTCTTGTTTTGTTTCTTTATAACGAACTTTCAATGGTATCTACCTCTTATACCAAGGCATCACATTGTATAGCAAGAGTATTACCTTTCTCATTCCTAAGTTTGCATCCTTGAAATCATACTACATTATTCTTAATATCTTGGCATTTTTATATCATGGAAAGCAATAATTTTCTAATCTAATTTGTAACAAAAAGAATACTTTTACTGAGGTACACATTCCAATGTTAAGCATAGCACTAAATATGCAAAAAAAGAAAAAATAGCCTCAGATTCTCAAAGATTGACTGGAGAAAACTCTAGACTTATTGCCTAAGTGATTATAAGTAGTAAGCTTAATACCCTTGGTGTGATGAAGAAGAATATGAAGTACTTTAAAAACACGTATTGACAATTATATTTGCATATTATTTTTCATTTTAATTTGCCAGGGAAGATTTGCTATCCAATGGATATCCATTATTGATTTGTCACATAGGAACTTGGTGAATTGGAATAGAAGTAAGAATAACCAGTTTATTCAAAGTAATTAGAGTTGCTATATTCTGCACATAATCTTTTTTTAGTAGATTTTTATACTAATCTGTTACTACTGAAGTTTATTTTTATAAAATTCAACATGAAATCATTTTATGGCAAACAAATTAAAGCTTTTGCTGTCATATTTGTTTTGATTAAGAGATCTTGTGTTTTTAATAAAGAATTCACTTTTTATAAAAGTGAATAAATTTATACTATAAAAAAATTGTCCCAGTTACATATAAAAAGCAAATGTCTTTTCTAACTTGCCCATCTAGCAAATGGGCAAGAAACATTTATAGTTAAAAACTTGAGAAATTTGTTTTGTACACTGAAATAGTTAGAAATTACTTGTTCTCCATCGTTTGTGTTATTTTGCTTTATGTGTCCTGATAGTATTGTAAACCATCTGTCATGTTGAAAAGCAGTACTAAGCAATAGCAAGCTATTAACATAAAATGCCAGACACATAGAACTTGCTTTCTTGCTTGTACTTCACAAGTGTTGGTCTTTTAATTACCAAAGATAGGTTTCTTTTGTGAAGTTTGTTGAAAGATCATTTAACCATATGGCAGACAGTTTTATGTTTAATAGCGAGAGAAGGAAAAAAATTATTTCATAACTGAAAAGTAAAAGTTTACTCCTTGCCTTTTTCTCCCATTGCTGGTATACATTCTTCTAGGAATGTACGGCTTATGTAGTTTTTCTTCTCTGGATAACTTGATAAGATAGTTAATATGATACTGTAGGAAAACATCCTATCAATTTTCAGAGTATTTGGACAAATATCTGGATTCCTTCTCTTAAAAAACAAAGATCTCAGAACTCTGTTTTTGTTACTTTTCACATTGGCTAAAACTATGCATGCAGACAATATTGAAGGCTACCTTTCAAGAGTTAAAAATGTTTTATCAACCCTTTCAGAGTTAAAATTATAACTGAATATATTTTAGGTACAGTAACTACCATTTTAAAAGTAGGATGTTATTTGGTAAAATTTTACCTTTTACCTACGCATGAACTTAACACTTTTATGAATCTTCTTAAGAGTATAAAGATAGAAAAGGTGTCAATAAGAACTTCAATTCAAAATTAATGTGAACTACATACATTTGTGCCTATTGTGAAAGTGAAAAAATCTATTCTTGTGTGAACAAGAGCAATATGTATTTATGTAGTGGCATTGGTATCACTGTAAGCTTCTGATTAGCCAGGGAAGTTAATCAGAGAAGTTGAGATGATATACCCTTACGAAATGTATCAGAGAGTAAGTCAGTCCTACCCAAAATGTCACTGTGCAGCCTAATGAGGAAATTTATAAAATTCTTATTAAAGGAGTAGGAACCCCTTCTATGGTAGTTTAACCGGAATCATGGGCAAATTGTGAAACTAAAATCATGAGACCTTTTTAATACATATTTTGCAGTCCTGTTGCTGTTGCTCAAAATTTAGAACATTTTTTTAGTGGGTTTGGAATCTGTACAGCTGTCTTCTTTCTCACTCAGTAAATAAACATTGACTGAATCTCTTCATCTTGGTTATGTTCTCTTGAATATTCTGGATATGGGCATTTTTGTCCATTATGAATGAATTAAATTTTTGAAATGATCCCTAGTTATTTGGAGCAAAATCTAAAAGAATTGGATGTTTAACTAAGCTAGATAATACCTTGTTGGGTAAAAAGTAAGTTAAAGCACTAAATCTGGTTTTCAGATATAGCTTAAAACTGAATCTAAAAGCAATTCCCAAAAAGGAATTTCATATATTTTCTTTTGGAATCATTAGAACAAGAATATGGCATCAAAAAATTTCTGCTTTGGGAATGATAATACCAACTAGATACAGATAAGTTTTGTTCTGTGTGTTTTTTCAGACCAGCTTCATAAGAAATTAATTTGGTGGTGTGATTTAAATTTCCCAGTTCATCACTTAGATATAAAAAGTCAACAACATTTATATTTTCAAGGATGTTTATATAGGTATTGATTATACTTGGCTATAATGTAATATTTACCTTATTTTTTTAGACATCCACAGTTATTTCAGGAAATTCTTCTAGTGCCAGCGTTTCCTCATCAGTAACTAGTGGCTTAACTGGATGGGCAGCTTTTGCAGCCAAAACCTCCTCTGCTGGTCCCTCAACAGCAAAATTGAGTTCAACAACACAAAACAATACTGGGAAACCTGCTACCTCATCAGCTAACCAGAAACCTGTGGGTTTGACTGGTCTGGCAACATCATCCAAAGGTGGAATAGGTTCCAAAATAGGTTCCGGTAATAGCACTACACCCACTGTACCGTTGAAACCACCTCCACCTCTAACCTTGGGTAAAACTGGCCTTAGTCGCTCAGTTAGTTGTGACAATGTCAGCAAAGTAGGTCTTCCTAGTCCAAGTAGTTTAGTTCCAGGAAGCAGCAGCCAACTAAGTGGGAATGGAAATAGTGGAACATCAAGACCTAGTGGAAGTACTACTAGCAAAACTGCTTCAGAATCCAGCAGCTCTTCCTCAGCATCCCTTAAAGGTCCAACCTCACAAGAATCACAGCTCAATGCTATGAAGCGATTACAGATGGTCAAGAAGAAAGCCGCCCAAAAGAAACTCAAGAAGTAATGTGGCCAAGTAGTTTTTTATATCATAATAGCCTAAAGATGAAAGACTTATTAGGATATAATCTGTAACATACTGTAATTTAATAAACATCTTCATAATCAAATTTCTATCATTTCTTATTTTAAAATGCTAAATATTATATAACAAAACTTGGAAACTTTTATTTTAAATCAGACTTCAACATTTTTATTTTAATGATTTCCAAAGTGTGTGAAAACAATGATTAGAATGACTGGTTCTCAATGAAAACTTCCGAAGATTGATAGCATCTATGAATTTAAGGAAAAGGAAAGAGTTTGTCTTCTAGCAAAGCCCCAAGAGTTGATCCTGATGAATGAAGTGCTTTATGTGGTGGCAGAGATGACCCAACATAGTTTTCTATTTTCCTCCCAATATTCTGGGTGTTCATTTCATAATTGATTTTCCATATCAATGGATTTCCCTGATTTACCATACCTCATATTGTATCTTTACCTTTTTTATCACCTCATTTCAGTTATTTAAGGATATATCATTTCCCAATAGATTGTGAATTCTCATGCTGTTTAATACAATATTTTTCTCATATTGCTCACTTTTTCCTACATTGCCAATGTAATATATGCACATAATACATAATAAATAAGAATTTTGATTAATCCCGGTTATGCATATTCCTGATAATTTTTTGAAGAAAAATACCATTTCCTAAGAGTCTTTGTGGATGAAAATGTATGATTTGTTCACACACTTATGGCTTCTTCCTATACTATAAAAGAAAAGGCTATCTTACTTAGTGCTCAAAATGTTATAGCATTTTACCTAATTTTAGTTAAGTTTGTATACAATATCTCCTATATAATGATTAATTCTTGAGATTTTGTACATTGTTAACCCATTTATGACATAGGTTGCAAATTTTTTTAGTGAAAAGTCAGACCTTGGCGATGATCTTGAGCAGTAGGGTATAATAATACCCACAAGCTAAGCGTTGCAATAATGGAACACTAGGCATAAATGGGTTAAGTCAGAAAATGTGGAGGGTCTGAATTGTCTTACTTGCAAGCTAGCAAATTAACCAGCAGTTGTTGTACATATATATTCTGAGAGAAGATAGGAAGCCCTCTGCATCAGATAAACAATTTATTATTTACAGCAAAAAAAACTGGACACCCAACAAATCCCTACATTCACAAGACTCTGAACAGCCTGTTCCATCAACCTTGATGTGTGCCACTAAGTCTTAACTCTACAAATCTCTAATTTCAAACCATCTTCCTTAATCCCTAGGTTTTTCTAACTTCATCATTCTAAAGTGTATTGATGGATAATCTCTGTAAAGACAAAGTTTTAAAATTAAGCTTGGTCTTTTTTTTTTTTAAGGAAAGATTATTATTTTAAACTACTCTGTTAAATAGTGGTGGTAAATTATTTGTAATAAATTAGAATTCATTATCTCAATAGGCAGCAAATGTCTGTTTACCCCATGTGTAAATAATGAATTATCTCAATCCTACAGAGACTTGCTTTGAGAAACAGATTTCTTTTGATAATGTATCAATTTAACATAAACCCCAGTTTCCCTTTGGGGTCAAAGAAACTAAAAAATGTATATTCATAATTGTTTATAGTTCAGAGCCAGTTTGGACTAAACAAAATGACCTGACATAAAAACTCAGCTCAGCAACTATAACAGTTGATGTAACCTCCGTACCTACAAAAAATGAAAGCAGTAATGTTTATTACACTTCACACATTGACATTTGAAAACATTTATCCTGTCACAGAAAATATGTGCTAGATAGAGTTGAGAAAAGAAGCAATCATTTTAATTTCTATTATACCTCAGAGAGGACTTTAACCAGTTTAGGAGGTAATTTATCTTTCACTGAGCATGGCTCTTTCTATAGATAATATGTTTATATATATACTTAGGATATGTACATATGTATAAGTACACATTAATACAGTATTTAGCTCAGATTGGTATTTTATAGTGGTATATTTGGTATTAGAGTTTAAATTGTCTTGAGGAGATTTTAGACCTTGATTTTTTTCATATCATAAAGTGAGCTACAAGACTCTGAGCACTAATGAAAGTAGCCAGTTTTATATAAATAGTATTTATTATTTTATGATCATTTTATTTAGTTTGCTATGTGCAGATGTTTTCTTCGCTAGAATTTAAGTGGTATGAAGGGAGGGATCTTGCTTGTCTTGTACAGCATTATTTTCCCACTGTAACTCTCAATACTTAATGGCTCAATGAATGAAAGTAAGCTTTTAGGATTGTACATTTTAATCCCATTAGTAGATATGTGGTCACTATCATTCTATTTTGTACATCTTACTTTTTGTAAGACTAAACCGTAGATTTTAGTGACTTAAGGAAAAGAAAAGGGAAAACACTAAAAGGAAAAGCCTTAAAATCAAAAGACCTGGTTTTAAATCCCAATTCTTCCATGTGAGGTCCTCAGCTTCTTCCTTTATAAAACATAGATGGTAATGAGATGTCCTTCAAGTCTACAGTGGATCTGAAGGAAGGACTGTTATTTGCTGTGAGATCAAGAAGAATGTAACAGAAATGTCCATTAATCCACATACAAAACAGAATGCCCAGTGTTTATATGGGGAAGCTGCACAGTCGCAAAGAGAAATTACACTAAAAGGCTTCAGAGAAGATAATTTTAAAGTTTTGGTGGCAACCAATGTAGCTGCCCATGGTTTGGACATTCCTGAAGTTGACTTAGTGATTCAATGTTCTCCTCCTCAGGATGTTGAGTCCTATATCCATTGCTCTGGATGCACAGGTAGAGCTGGACGGACAGAGATTTGTATGTGTTTTTATCAACTAAGAGAAAGAGATCAACTAAGATATGTGGAACAAAAAGTAGGAATTACTTTTGAACGTGTAGGTGTTTCTTCTACAGTGGATTTAGTTAAATCTAAAAGCTTGGATGCCATCAGGTTTCTGGCTTCTGTTTCTTATGCTGCTGTCGATTTTTTCTAACCATCAGCTCAGATGCTTATAGAAAAGAAAGGGGCAGTGGAGGCATTGGCTGCAGCTTTAGCCCACATTTCTGATGCATCAAGCTTTGAACCACAATCTTTGATCACCTCTGATAAGTTTGTCACCATGACTCTGAAAAGCCTAAAGGCAATATAGAATGTCAGCTGTGCTTAGAAAGAACTTAACAAAAAGCTGAGTAGTAATGCAGTGTCTCAGATTACCAGAATGTGCCTTCTGAAAGGATATATGGGTGTTTGCTTTGATGTTGCTACAACTGACTCAGAAAGGTTACAGGCAGAGTGGCATGATTCCAACTCGATAATTGCAGTGCCAGCCAAATTATCTGAAATTGAAGAATATTATGATGGAAACACATCTAATTCCAGAGAGGAGTGGCTGGTCAAGTGGCCACTTGGGCCAGTCAGGTGGTCAGATGGTCGAGCTGGTGGCCAGTCAGGTAGAGTTGACAAAAGAGTCACTCAAGAAGTTGACAAGATGGTAGAATATGAAGTGGGCATAGAAATCAATCAAGAAGTGGGGGCCACAAACAGAGTTTTGACTAAGTATTTGATAGTAATCTACCAGTGTGAGGTTTCCTATTTCTGCCTATCATGTACATTATCCACCAAAAATTAGGTTATCATAGTTGAGTTATGTGTCTGCTATTTGCAAAGAAGTTGGTCATATTTTCTTAAAAGGTATTTCACAAGAATGGTTGTAAACAAATCTACGTATCCAGTTATACCTTTGAAAAAAAAAAACCTCTTTATTGTCTCTTTTCAAAAAAAAAAAAAGAAAAGAGCTCTGGCTGAGGAGGAAGTCTATTGAGATGGTTGGGGGGCCTCAGAATTTTATTTTTGGTTTACACTACCTCGGTTTAAGTCCAAGCCCACCATTTACTAGCAATATGATTTGGGTTAAATTACTTCACCTTTTTGGACCATGGTTTCTTCATAATGTTTTGAGTATTAAAACAAGTTACTACATATAAAGCACTTAGAACAATATCTGGCATATAGTATGCATTCAGTAATATTACATGTTAATATCAAGCTATTCAGTTTTCTTTTGTTTCAAAACATAAAACATTAACAAAACATTATCAAAGACTTCTGTTGGCAATATATTCCTATTTTGTATATTTAGTGTATACTCTGGTTTATATATAGGTGCATAATTCATATTATCCACATGTGTATAGACTAATATATATGGTTTATGTGTATGTATATAAGCATATGCATTTGCAAGGGCAATATGAAAAAAACATTTGAGGCAAAATACATCATATAGTTAAAAAAAAAGGAAATTGAAAAATCTTTGGATCCAACCTTTCTTCAGGATAAAAGAATATAATTACCCTTTCAAAAGATCTTCACTTTGAAGTAGTTGATAGTCCAAGTTTGGGCCATTTGCTTTGCTATTTCTGTTGGCTTAGTATTTCTTTCAACATGTGTCCTTTATAATACATTCATGCAATAAGAAATACAGAATTCTTGAAAACCCAGTACAGTATCAGTTTCTGCAGTTTGGAGGTTTCTTGCTTTCTGGTCCAAAGTTTTGTAATGTCAGTTTTATGAGGTAGTCAGTTAACAACTTGCCAGAAAATAAAAGTCAGAGGCTTATTTTCTTAAGCATAAGTCATCTTTCCAAGGTAGTTAGCGGGCACGTATCCTTTCTGCCCTTGAGCTTCAGCTAACCACCACTCTTTATTGCCACTTAGGTCACAAAACCTAAGTATATGAACTCTCTGGTATTCCTGAAGGCTGAGTTCATGGTCACTCCGTGCTTGAAAAGCATGAACTGCATAGAAAATCTAGACAAAGAAACAAACGACATTATTGGAATTGGAACATGAATATTAAAAGAAACATCATAAGGGTTTCCAAGCTTTTAGAACCGAAGCTAAAGTTTTCTTATTTTTCCAAAGTCACATTGTCCAACTCCTTCTATTGGATGTATTTGGCTAAAATATGACCCAGGCGAGAATGGAGTGAAATAGATATTCTTACTATTCTGTTAGGAGGACTCTAAATTGTCCATGCTTGAAAGCAACTTGGCAGCTTCTATTAAAAGATTTGCAATAATGTTAAAATATTCCTTGTGAATCAAAA